AAGCAAATAATTCACAAATTGGTAAAAAAAAAAAAAAAAAAAAATACCTTAAGCCACTTTTTTTTTTTTTTTTTTTTTTTTTTACTGTTTCTGACAAGTATTTTTTTGAGTCTTTATACTGTGCCGTGCCCTGTTCTAAGTGCTGTTCTGTGTGCTGGGGATGTATTTGTTATATGTATTTATGTATTTGCATAAAACAGACACAATCTCTGTCACATGGGGCTTATGATCTTGTGCAAGGAAACCAATAGATGGACAGGAGGGTTTCTGATGTTGATGAGCTCCAGAAGGAATCCAGTCACGGGGAGGTGGTCCCAGTGGGTGTGTGGGGATGAATATGTTGTAGAGATTGGCCAGGGGACCCCTCACCGAGGAGGGGACATCTGAGCTGAGAGCTGAATGACACACGGGAGCCTGCCGGAGAACAGGAGAGGGGAGCAGCGAGTGGCAAGGGCCTAGGCTTTCAGACAGGAATGAGGCTGGGGAGAATCCAGCAGGGCTGCCGTGGAGTAAGCGAGAGGGAAGAAGAGGCTAGAAGAACTCCGAGGTGAAAGTCCTGGTTAGGAGCCAAGTGCAGCAGGGAAGGCCACAGGAACGTTGTAAATTATAGAGTGGGAGGATCTGCTTCGCATGTTAGTCATTTAGTATTAAAAAATAATTTTATTGATTTTAGAGAGAGAGGAAAGGAGAAGGATAGAGTGGGCGAGACCTCCTGCATGCCTCCTACTGACGATGGAGCTAAAACCTGGGCATGTGCCCTAATTGTGAATCCAACTGGGGACCTCTTGGTTCATGGGTCAACACTCAACCACTGAGCCACACCAGCCAGGCCAATTCCCATTTTAAACCAACCCTACAGGCTCCTGCAGATATAGAGGAGCGAGGGTGGGAACAGAGAGACTGGTGAGGAGTGGTGACAGTGGTCCAGGCAAGAGCTGCAGTGGTTCGGAGTACAGGCAATAGCTGTATCTGGTATGTGAACAGGAAATAATCAGCTAATAGTTTGGAGTGGAGATGAGGGTCTTGGTGGTGGCTGCAATGTGGGCGGTGAAGGAGAGGGATGGAGAACATTGTCTAGACTAGCTGGGTGGTGCCAGTGACTAGATGAGGGCCCTATGGTCTGGGGCTGGGGTTCAAGGGTTTTGTTTGGGGTGTGTTGCATTTGGGATGCTCGTTAGACATTCAGGGGATGACTGCGCATGGAAGAGCCCAGGATGGGGTTCGGGCTGACCGTATACATTTGGAATTAGAAAGCCATGGGGCTGCAAGAGATCCCTTAGGGAGAAGTGGGTTGATAGAGAAGAGAAGAGGGCCGGAGATCAAGCTGACTGCTAGGCCACAAGGTCATGCTGGCATCTGGAGAGGCCAAGCAAAGGAGCAGGGACATGGGACTCATTAGTTGAGAGCTACTGCAGGAGGCTCGGGCTCAGCCCGTAGCCACAGTAAAGATTCTTGTTCCCTCATCACCCATAGCTTCTCCACTGGAGGCGGTGATCTCAGTGGACAACACGGGCATTCCACCCACAGCCTCTCCCATCCCCTATGCCTGTCTGTTTGTCCTGGGCATTGGCTTCAATGTCCTTTTGCTTCTAACAGCTAGTTCCTGTATCTCTGTTTTGGAGGACACCCTCCTTCTCCCCACTCCCCCCAAGCTATTAGGGGCTCCTCAGTCCCCAGGCAGGATTCCCCGGAGAGATGGCCTCTCTTGGTGGCCCCTAAGCAGTGACTGAAGGCTACAGGAGCACAGAAGCCCGGCTCCCTTCCCTCGGTCTTAGACAGCTCTGAGGCAGAGCCTGTATCCTGCGGAGTTCTCCTGGGAGCCAGGCTGAAGCTACCCTCTGGAGAGCTCTTGCCGCAGCGAGCACCCTGGCTGGACCTGTCTTGGTAACACTTTTCACTAGGCTGTCTCCTCTGGGCAGCTTGACTGGAGCTCTGAACTGCTCTCCCCGCCACCAAGCCTGCCTCCTGGTCCCCGGCCCCATTCTGAGATTACAACCACTGGGATAGTGTCATCACTTAAGAAATAAAATAAAATCAGAGGACATATTTTAAAGCTTTCCCAAATTCTCTAAGTTATTATTTTTTTGGAACAGTTTATATATTAACAGCCATCAAGTGGAAAGGATTTATTTTATTTTATTTTTTTATCATAAAGTCAATTGTCTGTTTCTACTGATTCTGATGGATTTGTTTACTGTTCAATTAAGTGAGACATTTCCAAGGAGTTATTTATTTTCACTCTTCCAGCTCAGAGGATAAATGCAAATCTTAAACTGATAAAACTATTAGCTGATTATTTCCTGTTCACACACCGGGTCAATGACATTACGGAGATTAAGCAGGGGAGTCAGATAGGTGTTTAGCAGGATTTGCTGCCGTGGATGTGATCTCTGACAGAAGAAGCTGTGAGCTTTTCCACCCATTTTCATGTGCTAATCTCTGTAGCTCTCACTCCCTACTTGTAAAACAGTCTGCAGCTACGGTCTGGCAGGAATGGGAAGCCAAAGGGTCGATTGTCTATGTGGAATTTTCCCTCTGTCATTGAGGGAAAAGTAAAATTAGATTTTATTTATTTTGACTGGATTTCCATTTATTTTAGAACTTTTGGGGGTATTTTAATATCTGTCTATAAAAAGGACTTGGATTTTCTGGTTTTAAGGAATGACTTAAAAATATTTTTTTGATTTCAGAGAGGAAGGGAGAGGAGGTGAGAGATAGAAACATCAGTGATGAGAGAGAATCACTGATTGGCTGCCTCCTGCACGCCCCCCACCGGGGATCAAGCCTGCAACCTGATATATGCTCTGACTGGGAATCAAACCATGACCTCCTGGTTCATAGGTTGATGCTCAACCATTGAGCCACACTGGCCAGGCTTAAGGAATAATTTACAGATCATCCATTCTTCCTCTCTTCCACCCTCTTTCCTTCCTCCCTGCCTTCCTTTCTTTCTGAGTATAGCCAATGCTAATTCAAATCTCTAACTGAATATCATACATAACATATTTTAAACTTCCCAAGGAGGTTTTTCTTTGCTTGTAGTAGAATCACAAAATTGTGATAGCCTCTTTTACCTTTAACGGTTTTCTGTCTGAAATCAGACATAGTAAATAAATATTGGCTGAGTCCATAATGTTATGTCCTAGGCACTATCATAAATATTAGTGATGCGTTTTTCTTGGTGTGCATCTGTGATGAGAGACTTGGCCTCCAGTTAATTTCAGCTCAACTCTTTGTTACAAATATGACAACTATATTGGGAAAAGAATTTTTAATTCCTTAATGGTCTGTACATCTCACAAAATTAAATTTTACTAGGTTCTGTTGTGGTGGAACATCCATTGGCAATTCTTTTTGCCTCTAAATACTTCTGAAACACTTGGATGCTGACCATTGATTTCATAATACATCGAGGAATGCAGTTATAAGACAGTAATGCATGCGTTTTCATGCCTAAAAAACACACCGTGAAGCCAAGCTATGGCACTGAGTCACAGTGGAAACATATGCATCCAGTCAAATTAAACTGATAGTATACTTAATTTTATATTTGCTATAGAGTTGAAAGTCTGGTATCTCCAACTTCCTTTTTGTTTCTATTCTGGAAACTAAAACAATTGAATGAGAAGTTTGTTAAGGGTAAAAAAAGCAAACGAATTGTTCTGCCCATTTGTGAACTCATATTTTGAGTGGGGGTGGGAAATAGTACTAAAATTGACCCTGGAAAGTTGACAATGACCACAAATCTTTATTCAGAAGACTGAAATACCTTTTGGGTTGTATTTTGAGGTACACTCTCCCACTTGTTAAAAGAACAAAATTCAACTGAGTAAATTTTAAAACTTTTTATTGGCTTTATTCAGCACTTTATAAATTGGGCAGCAGCATCCAATCTATCAGACAGACAGGAGCTCTAAGTTTCTGTGCAAATAGAAAGACTTTTATAGCAGAGCGGAGCAGGAATGAGGAAGCTGTGCTAGGCAGAAAGCAGGCTGGCTATCGCAAGGCTGCTTCACCGAAAGGGGATGGTAGGAGTTTGTCTGGTAGATTACCTAACTAATGCTGGTTTAAGTTCCCACTTCCGGGAGAGTTGAGATGTAATTAAGTCTTGGTTCGTGGGGCTTAGCATAAGTGACTCCATGTTGGGCCTGTTGAATTGTTTTTAACAAGATGGTTGAGTGAGTCCAGGGCCTGTCCATCTGCTGCAAGAGAGCGTATGACTGGATTTGATCCACGTGGGGATTCAGGTGGTACTCCAACACATTAGGAATTCTGGAAATCCAAGGACATTCTGTTACTCTAGACTTTGTAATGCTTATTTGCAAGTGGATGAGGCTTTCTCTGGGACTCTTATGGACATGATCTGTGATGAGGGAGAAACCCCTAACTAGCAGCTATCGTCAAGGATACGTGTCAAGAATGTCAAGAAAGACAAGTAAGAAGGCATAATAGCATCATCAGTTGGGATGTAGGCAATTGCTTAAAGATATACATATTTTAGAAACTCCAAATGAGGACATTTTCCCTGATATGCAGAACAATACTTATTGGAGCAATGGGTCAGAAAGTTTGAAATCTAGGATAACTTAGAAAATTTGGGCTCTGGAGTACTATAAACCTATGGTTGGCAAACTGCGGCTCTTTGGCCCCTTGAGTGTGGCTCTTCCACAAAATACCATGGCCTGGGTGAGTCTATTTTGAAGAAGTGGCGTTAGAAGAAGTTTAAGTTTAAAAAATTTGGCTCTCAAAAGAAATTTCAATTGTTGTACTGTTGATATTTAGCTCTGTTGACTAATGAGTTTGCTGACCAATGCTATAAACCCTTCATTCTCTAAATGTACTCAGAGGCCTTCGGATGACAATAGTAAATGGTATACATATTAACATTTGTTTTTTTTCATATTTAAATAAATGTTATAAGTGACTTGGACTGTATTAACTGAGAATATTTTGGAGCATGCAACCCAACTAAAGTTTTTCCCTTCGGTTTACTTTGAAAGGAATGCAATGTTAATTCTGGGGCGTTGACATCTTACAATGCCTGATCAAGACAGAAAGGTGAAGACAGAAAAATCAACCGACAAAAAGCAGCAAGGAATCACCACCACCAGGTAACTGAGTCTTTGTTAATTATTAATGCAGGCAGTGGTCAGCATCTGGATTTAATAGGTTTCTGAGAAATAGCGTGGACCCTGGACCACTGCTACTCTGGGTTGCGGTGTTGACTGTAATGTGTGACCATTTGCAAAGTTCTAAAGAAAGTGTTTAGTGTGCCTGTTTCCGTCCATAAAAGCAGGCCTCCAGGTGGCAGTGCCATCAGTGGGTGACATGCGAGTTCACCTGGAGTCTTCTGCTGGCTGACATTGTGTTATTCTCTCTCCTAGGGACTATTCAGATCTTAAAAGACTTCGGTGCCTTTTGAACGTCCAGTCAAGCAAACAACAGGTAGGGTTTCCAATAAAAAGGAAATCACGTGTTCCCAAAGGGATCCATTCAACATCTTTATGAATGATATGCCTACTTCTCTTTTTTTTCTTTTGCATATTTTGTCTTTCTTCATCTGGTTGTGTCTCTCATACCTGCCAAGACTTGGCATCGATAGTCTGTCTTTTCATTCTTCTCCTCTGAGACCTCAGACCTGCCCTATTCTAGGCTTGTTGCCATGTGTCCTCATTACCAAAGCTCTCAGGTCTGGAAACAGTATGTCTTCTATTGAATGCCCAATGTTCAAGTCTTCAGAGCAATGGGACAAGTGATTTTTTTAAAACACCCTTCGCAGTTGAGTAAGCTCTGATTTGGAGTAAACGTACCCACATTTTTTCTCTTCTTCTCCTCTTCACCCCCTTCATGCTGCCCACCTGCTACGGCAACACTCTTGAGGATTGCTGCCAATTGTCTCTTACTGAAAAGAGGGGAGAGGAGTGAGTTGGGCTATTTTTATAATAGTATTTTTATATTTTTATTAGACAGAAAAAGGAATTTATCTGGACACATTTCTGTTTTGTTTTGCTTCTGTAAGACTTTGGAGAGTCATGAGATTAAACGCCATTCCTGGAGGTTTGGGAAACAACCCAGCAATGCTAATAATAATAATAATAATAATAATAATAATAATAGAAGACACTTGGCACTGTTAACTAGTAAATGGCTGGGATGGGACTTGACTGTGGTGGCATGGCTTCAAAGCCTGCTATGCTATTCTCCTTTCACTTGTTTAAGAGCTCATGTGGTGCTAACTCAACATCTATGGCCTTTGCTATATCAACTGAACTTTGCAGAGAACTACAGCATTTCTATCTATTATTTATAGCAGAGAATGACTTTCTAATGACTCGATGGCAAATAAAGGCCAAATAATGATAGTTCATTTTAGGGAACACTTACTATGCACGTGATGCTTTTCCCGCCTTACCCTGCTTAACAACCAAAGCTCCCACTTTCACAGGTAAAGAGCCAGAAGCTCAAAGAGGTTAGGTGACTTTCCCAAGATCACACAGACAGCTAATGGTAGAAGTCAGATCTGAACTCAGACATGCCACCTTTGCAATGTGTGCCTCTAACCACTGAGGTACCTTTTAAATGATGTAAGAAATTAAATCATGTACCGTTAAAAAAGTAGTTGAGTAAGCTCTGATTTGGAGTAAACGTACCCTAAAAACATTTTTTCTCCTATCACTTCCTTCTGTTACTAATGCTCACCTCGCAGTAACTCCTTCCTTTTCACCCACCCATTTCAGCAGTCACTGTTACCCTTTGTCTGTCTTGACACAGCTTAGTATCCTTGTGGCTCACCGCTCACAACCTGCGTGAATCATGGCCCCAAACCCAGCCCATTCTTCCTGAGTAAAGTGAGCAGGATGACTCAGCATGCAGTTTTGGTTGTAGTTCCCATTCTCTCTCACTGCAGGATGTTACCATATTGTCAGACTTCTACCTTTTCTTTCTATTCCTTTCTCCTGAATTTCTTACCTATTTCCAAGACTCAACTCTAGTGATGCCACCTCCACAAAAAGCTTTCCCTACATCTTCCATTCTAGAAGTAATTACACCTCTCTCTTCTCAGTGCACCATCTTTCACGCTTGGAGCATCATTTTCTCCATTGTTTTGGAAACTCTTGTCTACGTGTCTAATTTCCTGGCAAGATGATAGATTTCCCAATGACAACAACTTTGACTTATGCCTCTGCTCCGCTGTATCCTCTATTCTTTGAATTCTTGGTCAGGTTTTGCCAAATTGAACCGTGCCTTAAGAATCGGGTTACCACATGGGTATGTATGACAACCCTCTCGCCAGGGTAAAACAATCACCAGTGGTGGTTTTGGCAGTAGTTTGCCACCTTTGAAGCTCATGCTGCACTAGATCTCTTGTGTCCCCTTTCAACACCTGGCTGTCAATGAAAGGGAATTGAATAGTTTCCTTTCCTGCTTAAAACCAGTTTTAGAATTTGCAATCTGTTGTTTGACAAGTTCATATGGCTTTATCTTTTTGTGAAATAGTTCACATGTACAAAAATGTGTTTGTAATGTTTCAATTACTCAGAAAGCAGATGATTCTGTGAAAAATAACAACTTAGCTATGTGAAGATCCCCGAGGTTCACGAAATCCATTCCTAATTCTGTGTATAAAACTTTCATTCATTTTAAATTCTAAAATAATCAATCTTATTCTGAACACCCTATTCTCCTGTCCATAAAATAGTGTAGAGGCATTTATAGGAGAAGAAAGAAATTGGAGGGAATCAATCAAGAATTTATTTATATCTTACTTGTTCCAGTAAGGAGGCTTATAAAGATCCATCAAGTATGACAGGGTATCATTAATTAAACCAGGGCCAAGAAGAAAGGAAAACAAGGTCATAGTGAAGTACAGTCAGAGGCAGAAATGCCCATCACAATGTGTAAGTGGGTTGGACCTGCATTACCACCATTTGCCCACAATCCAGAACTGAAATATCATTGCTGACATGTACACATAAGGAACTGTTTGACATTGAAATTGGGTCTCAAAAGAACTGGTGGCCCAGAAAGAAGCTCACTACAGACTGATGCGTATGCCTTTCAGCATAACGATTATTGCTTGTCTCATTTTTGATTCTTTTAAGTATATTTCCAGTAGCACATGATCTCACTCATCTAGGGGAAATGGTGAACAACATAGACTGATGAATAAGAACAGACCCAGAGATAAGGAGCCATGGGTCAGACTGTTGGACCTCAGAGGGAGGGTGGGGATAAAAGAAAGAGATCAATCAAAGGACTTATGTGCACACATATGAGCCTAACCAGTGGTCAAGGACAATAGGGGGGGTGGGAGCATAAGGGGAGTGGGTGGGGGATTAGAATGGGGGGTTGAGGACAAACATGTGATACCTTAATCAATAAAGAAATTAATTTTTTTTAAAGTGAAAAAAAATGTAGGTGGGCCACATATTGGTTCTGAGACTTAGAGTAGCAGTCGGTTTGAAAACAAAAACTTGGGGTTAAGGCCCACTCACCTGAATTTAGGTTCCAGCAAGTCCTGGCCTGTTATTTGTAAATGGGCCAAGATGGCCAGCTAACCAGCTGAAGAGGAAATATACTTTGTGGGTTTGGGCAGAGAATTGCAAGAACTGAGTGTCCTTCATCTGAGTCTAATGAGCCCCGGCACTTAACCTCGTTGCTTCCTGTGTTCCAGTGTCTGCCTTCGCTGTCGGTCCTGTTTGCTCGTCACCACATTAGTGTCTGCTGCTCCGTAGGAGGGTCCCCCAGTGTGACAGAAGTGGGGGCAGACACACACTGAGGCAGATGTACACCTGCCTTCCTCATAAGCAGGGCTAGAATGATCGTAACCCAGTGACGCCAAATAATTCCAGGAAAATAGTTGCTCCAGATTTGTTGCAACAAAGGGAAATTACAAAATTGGTTGGAGATTTCACCAGAGGTTTTCACAAATCTTTTTTTTTAAAAACTTTTTTATTTTCTATTGGTTTTAGAGATGAAGGGAGAAGGAGAGAGAGATAGAAACATTAATGATGAGAGAAAAATCATTGATCATCTGCCTTCTGCACGCCCCACACTAGGGATCAAGCCCCAACCTGGGCATTTGGCCTGACTGGCAATTGAACTGTAACCTCCTGGTTCATAAGTCGACACTTAACCACTGAGCTACTTAGGCTAGGCCATTTTTCACAAATCTTGAAATAATATGCCTAGAGTTGGAATTTCAGTACCTCCTCTCCCCCACCCCCCTGCACACACCCATACACACACACATTTAGAGCCATAGGGAGCTGAGAAATTGGTTTTCAATAAACAATAGAATAAATAAATTAATTAGTGACAGGTCAATTAAATGCCTTTAAAATAAAAGGTTTTGATAGATGCCTGGGACCAGGCTTCCCTCCTCTGGCCATCAGCAGGCACTCAGAACCTGGGCTGGCTTCCCTCTGGCCCAGCTTATCAGGAAGAAAGGAGTGATTTCTAGAAGACATCTGGTCTAATTAGCATATTACCCTTTTATTATTATAGATAATTTCATGATGTTAAGACTTAATTAAAAGTGATAGAATCTTCTTTTCCTTTATATTCACTGCACCTGCCAAGTAATGTATGATTGGTAAATGTTGGATGGATGGATGGATAGATGGATGGATGGATGTATGGAATGAACAAATGATGACTTTCAGCTTGGGGCTCCACTCTCTATACAAGAGTATTCTAGCTAGATCCTGAAACTCCCCATCCTGTTTGCACATTTGAATCACCTGAGAAACTCCAAAATATCCTAATGCCCAGGCCTTATGCACACCTGTGTCCCAGCACTATTCGAGGTGGGGGGATCCAGCATTGGACTGCAACAGGCCGGTTCCTGCTTACTTCCAGCTGACACTTGAATCAAAGGAGACTGAAAATGCATAAATAACTAAGATATGACAGGAAGTGTGACGAGCTATGAAGGGAAAGGAAGCAGTCTGAGATAGAAAGAGTAAATGGTGTTTAAGTCAATGGCCTTCAATCTCGGAAAAGGCCTCCATTGGGCATGGCTGCCATGTTGACTATTGGTTTGAAGAAAGACACGTTCCCTTCCCCCGTCCCTCCCCTTTTTGGTTCCTTTCGTTATCCTGGGCTGAATTGTTATCCTCACGTACTCTGTGCTTCTATTTCTGTAGCTTCCAGCCATTACCTTCGATAGTGCCCAAAATAGCATGACGAAGTCTGAGCCCGCCATCAAGGAGGGTGGACACAGAGCTCGAGGTCAGTGGCACGAGTCCACTGAAGCTGTTGAACTTGAAAATTTTAGGTAAGAAATCCAGGATGTCCCTTGCCTTTAGCAACCTATTCTAATTAGCCCAAAGCTTTATGTGAGTTTATCAAGTTAGTTGACATTTAAAACTCATTTCAAAATTTACCATGAGGATTCTTAATCATTTTTGTCAGTGTTTAAACAATTCCCAGAAATAGAGCATGAATCACAGGCTTACTGGCTGCCGGTGAAACTGGGAGCTTCGGGACACTTTGGTGACACGCAATTGGCATTTGCTTCATGACAATTGGCAAGTGTTGACCCTTTGAGGCCGATTCCAAGCTTTGTCTTAAGTGTGTTGTGATACACCTCGCCAGCGATGAGGAGAAATAAAATAACCCATGGCCATGGACAGAGGTGGTGGCTAAAGACTATGGTTGTCCAACCAACAGAGGTTTTCAGATGAAGGGCTTGCACCTCACCTTTAACCCTGACTGTGTCAGCCCTGGTTTGTCTTTCCTGTCGCCATGCAGAGCTTCTAGAAGCTGTATGTTCCCATGGCCACTCCCCTCCCAGGAGCTGGTTCTGTCAGTCTTAGGGTGCACGAAGGTCATTTGGCACTAAGTGCCACGTAAATAGTAAGTGACGTGAAATGTCAACATGAATATTGTAGAAGGATCATTTATTTATTTGGCCTAGATTTTGTTTCCCCGTCATTTTATGACAGTGAATTTAATAGTTCACAAAGTCACATGATATTACAAGTTCATATGTTTAAAATATAGTTTTAGTGAGGGACGCTAAATTCTTTAAAAATGGTTACATATTCAGTCTACCAGTGTCCATGTACTAAGACACCATTATAACCCTCGGTGACTTAGTACATGGACACTGGTACTCGGCAGGGGAGGGACACACTGTCCATTGTTATCTGCGAAGGCAGACAGTACAGTTGGCCATCTAAGGGTCCAGAGATTGCCTTTGAGGTGGTATGTTTATGTGATCACAGCTTATTAGGCCTAGATCTTAAAGCTGGTCTACTTTAACATTGCACAAAAATATACTATAGCTTCTGTAGCAATGTGACCCTTTTGTACAGTTATCGCTTATCTTCTCCTAGTTCTAAAGTGTAATGTGTGGGCTATTTTTTTTTAATTTTTTTTTTTTTACCTCTGATGGCTGTAATACCAGAAAAAAGAAGCTGTAGCTGGACTTTGTTAAACACACACACACAATCAGCAACCAGAAACTCTCACTATCTACAAGGAAATGTGTGTAACAACCCCTGGGGTTAATAGCTATAGTAGCCATCGAGATCACTGTGGGTAGAAAAGTGAAGGGAGGAATTCTCTAAGTACTGCTCAGCTGTCTAAATAATGCGCCCCAGTCATTCTTTCCACATTCTCATCTCATTCCTCTGACCAATTTTAGCTGTTAAGTGTTTATAGGCCATAAGTTAATGTGGTAAAATGAAATATATATGCTTGCCTGTGATTTTGATATTAACTTTATAACTGCATTTCTATTTCCTATTTTTAATAACTGATACTTGCCTTTGGCAATATATTAAAATCCAAGAATCCCTGAATGTTTGCATGAATACAGGTGATCGTTCTTTTGGTAACTTTGCAGCATCCTAAATAATTTTTTGTTATGAAATACTTTTCTGTTTGTTTCATGTCAGTATAAACTACAAGAATGAGAGGAATTTCAGCAAACATCCCCAGCATCAACTATTTCAGGAGATCTTTACAGCGTTGGTGAAAAATAGGCTCATATGCAGGTAAGATTGTTCCAGGAAAGATAGACATTTAGCCAAGGATGGCTTATTTTACATATCTCTAGCATATGGTTTAAAGTCACTTACAAGACTGAATATAACATGCACAAAGGAGAAAACAGAACAAAGGCCATTTAGATGGAGATGAATAAACAGGCATTCACATGATTTCATTGAGATTGCTCTGGTTAGGTACCGAAGTTCGCTGAATTTAATGATAAATACGGTAAAGTGAGAAAGGCAAGCTACACTGTTTTCCTTAGTTTGAGTTTGGATACTCAGGCAGAGATTATGGTCTGGGTCCTTATGAGGGAGACATCAGGTAACACAGGACAACATCCTCACTGTGCACTTCTGTAGTCCATACAGGGACTGATTACGTGGGCTGCCCAGCCTGGACCTTAGCCAAAGGGTGAATGTGTGAAATCCACTCACAGCCCGATGACAACCTGTCATCCCAGGCCCAAATCAAATGCTCTTTCCTTTGCTCCCCTTTGTCTTCACTCAGGTGCAATGTGGGACTGTAGAGAAGGAACAGTTAGCCAGTTCTCTAGGTTCTCTCTCTCGAGTCTCATGGGATTTTGGTGAACTACTCCTGCTGGATTGCAGTCAGGATTGAGTTTTTTCCCAAGTTCCCATTCTGGGCTGCTGGAAGGAGGCCCCCAACACTTGGTTGTGGTAGGACCTGGTCTTCTACTCTGCTCAGGAGGCCCAGACCCTCTCTCCCTTCCATCCGCACCTCCCCCTCTTCCCCACTGCAGCCCTGGCTGAAAAGACACCTATGAAAACTACATCTTCCCCTCCACTTGAGATTTGATTGAGTTATCTGATTCTGTCCCAGTGAGATGAGAAAAACACACACCAAACAAACTGCTCTTATTCTGGAAAATAAAAGAGAGAGTAATAATTTAATGCCTTGATTGAAAGAAAACTCTGACTTGGTGCAGTGTAATAGCTGACTTTAAGTAAAACATCATCCCAATGGGTCCTCCATGGTGAATCAGCTACTAAATGCATGCCTAAGTGGTGGCCTAATGCTTGGATCTGTTGGATGAAGTTACTTAGTATTGAGTATTTAAATACTGGGCAGTGACTGCTAAGAATGTTGATTTAGCATAAAGCAATTGAGGATTGGGACAACATCTGTCATACTTTTGTACTTGATTTAAACAGAGGATTATTAGACTGACTCAGATGACACAGAAGCCTAGAATCTTGATGATGGTCATGTAATTAGGTCAGTGCTCAGTTCTTGACAATATATGCAAAGATCATTGAAAGATTAATGAACATTACAAAGGACCTGAAGTTGTCCTGGGTTATTTCTTCTTGAGCTTGAACAGAGTAGAATAATGATTAGTAGCAGAATAATTATGCCTGAAATGGTATTAGAAAAATTGAAGTTATTTAATTTGTTTTAAAGGCAACTATCATGGATTCTTGAAAGTATGTTTAGGAGACTATTTGTCAGATTGGTACTTTGGAAAAGGAAGCAGATTTCCTGCATTAAAGCTGTAGAGACCTCTCTGTGTCCCTACACTGAAGGCATTAAATGCAGATATTGTTGTGGAAAATGACTGGGCAGTTGAAAAAGATCTTAACAATTCTGAAGTCAAGAGATCTCTTGTCAGGAACCTTTCCAACTTCTTAGTGATTAATGAGGCATCTTCTATTGGATAGTGTTACTGGTTTGCAATATGAGCAGTCCCTGGAAATCTTCAAACCAGGAAAGGATGATTATAGATCTCTTTGCTTTCATAGTATGAGAAGGAATTTGGGAATGTTAAACATCAAGAACATCCTTTTACATCACCCTTTGGCTGCTGACAGATTGGTATGTTCCGTTCTATTCTAAAAGCAGGGCTGGGTAAAAGATCTAAAGGTCTATTGTTTCTCGGACCATATAACCTTGCTAAGCTGGGAAGACTACCCTTTTGTCCTTTTCTCTTTAACTTTAGACTTACAGAAGAATTAAATTGCAGGGTTGTAATTCTTTTCTGGTATGGCTTCCCATGCCCTTTCTTTGTGAACATCAGACTTAATGTTGACTGGAAGGCTTAGGTTCAATTCAGTAAATAAATTGTTGAGCATCTACTGTGTGCAAGGAAGAGAAATAGAGCAAATGGTGGAGAAGGAAAAGGGGGTGAACATACAAAGATGAATAAGATGTGTGGTCCCTTTTTTTCTAGGGACTCAGAGTCTACTTTGGCCAGCAAAATAGTTATTTTCCATCACCTATAAGGGAACATATGGTAAATATAAATGTGTATTTGAAGACCACCAAAGGCTGCAGGGTCTGGACTTTGGTCCATTTCTGGTTGGAGACATGATTGGCACATTCAGGATGTTATGCCATTCACTTTTATCCTGAGAATATGGCTGATTGGGAACTTAATCTCATCCGTGGAGTGTGAGCTCCTCCAACTCCTCCCCCTATTTATGCCCGATTGATGTTGTTCCTCCTCTATTCCACCCTCTGCAACTTCAATCAACCCTTACCCCCCACTTCTGGATACCTCACTTCTGGGTTATTTTCCTAAGATTGACCCGTGATACTCCCTTGTTCTCAGAAATGACATTGTCGGGCAGCCTCTGAAATGCAACAGGACTTGTTAATCCAGAGTCAGATAAGGTAACACTGTAAACACCTCATGGTAGATCTCCAAGGGTAAATGAAAGTGTGGCCTCTGAATCTAAGGTTACTGCTGGCTACACATGGTAATAAATCCCTATGTGAGCAGAGCATGGGAGCAAATTTTGATCTCCCAACTTTTATTCCTGCCATAACAATCTTTTGTAGACTCTACAAACCTACCTCCTCTTATCTTATCTGGAGGAAATTGCAAAGAAAACACAAAGAGTGCTTGGTAGCCAAGATAAGGTTCTGAGGTTCTGTAGAGAAGTACAAGTTGTCACAAAATGGACACATTTCCCAGTAAACGAACCACTTATAAAATCAATCTCTACTCAAATATCTCTTCTGTGAATCTGTTCCTCTGAGCTCCCCCTCTGTTGGTTCTTTCCTTGCTGATTGCCAGACAATGCAAATGTTAATATAACCTACTTGTGAAATGAACTTGTGAATCTAGCTATAGACATAGAATGTTATGAAAAGTACCTTCTTGGCCTTCTCTCTCTCTCTCTCTCTCTCTCTCTCTCTCTCTCTCTCTCTCTCTAAATATTTTTTATTGATTTCAGAGAGGAAGGGAGAGGGAAAGAGAGAGAGAGAGAAACATCAATGATTAGAGAGAATACCCTACTGGGTATCAAGCCTGCAATCTAAGCATGTGCCCTTCAGTCCACAGGCCAATGCTCTAATCACTAAGCAAAACCAGCTAGAGCTTAGCTTCATCTCTTGATCCTTCCCGTAGCATCCTTTGGGCTCACCAAGGTCAGAGTGAACCACTCACTGTTTTTGGAAAGTTATAACTCTCATGAGCCTTGGCCCATGCTCATCCTTACCTGCAGAATGCTGTCCCACATCTTCTCCTTTCTGTCTGTTCTGGCCCTTCAACTCCCTCCCCTCCTCTCCCTCCTATGGCCCTAGGCCTGAGTCCCTCCCCACTATACACTGTGTTTCTGAAGAACAGGCTTGGTTTTGGTTTTTTTTTATCTCCAACTCAAGCCATTGACACTGGTTTTATCGCAGAGCATGGAGTCTGAGAGTTTTCATAAAGTGGAACTTCTTTGCATTAAATTGTTTTCATCACCATAAAATTTTTGAAAACTATAGAATATTATTAAAAAATGAAAATCTACACTTTATATAATTCTTAGAAATAGCTATTTTAACTGTTACTATATTTCCTTCTAACATTCAAAAAAATTCTATGTTTTTTCTTCCTCATTTATATGAGAGGTTATTATATACATACAAAATTGTATTCTGCCTTTATCCAGAGTAGAATTTTTAGAGTTGAATCATTGGCTGAATATCTTTTATGATCTTGTGTATCTTTTTTTTTTTTTTTTTTTCTCCAAGTTTCACAATTTTAAGTGTATAATCCTTAAGAACCTAGGATTTCATGTAACCTCCAGCTAGAATAATGTTTCCTCTTTCTCCCATTGGAACAAATATCTAGCTCTTACATTTTTATTTCTCCTGAAATGTTTAGAGTTTATCTAAAACTTAAAACGTGTACACACACACACACACACACACACACACACACACACACACACAAAATGATATCCAATTACAGAGGTGGAATGGATCCTGAAATAAAAATCCAGTCCAGCCTCCACTGAGAGATAAGGTAGCTTAGAGGGTAGGGACAAGCCCCAGGTCCTGACGCAAATCTTGAATAACATTATTTTCTCCTCTGCCTCACTGATTACCTGATTCTCTTATTAATCAAAGTACATTTAAAATCTGTTCTCAGTTCTGCACCACAGAAAAACAATCACTTCAGGATTCATTTTCTCTTTTTTATACTATTTATTACTGCTTCTTGCAAAACTTTTTCACTTGGATGTGTAACAGGCATGACATTAAAATGTTCCCACCTTCCCAGGAAAGTACTTCTTGTTCTTTGGCCGCATGCAACCACCAGAACCAGTTTTAACCTGGCCAAAGCAATAAATGACAGTTTTTCATCAGTGCAGGAGCATCTGAGAGCCGGGCAATAAGCGACAGACACATTCCCACAGCTGACATCAATCCACCAATCTCCAAACAATCCCACTAATGAAAGTCCACCTATCCCTGAAATACTCTCATCAGCTTTGTCCCAAGAGACTGTGCCTTATACCTCTCTCTTGCTGACAATTCATCTTTTGTTTCACACATTGATTGGTGCCCAGTAAAACTTTTGATTGGGTTCTCTCCACTTGCCCACCCGCCAGCTTTAGAGTTCCCTACCTATTAACCTAGCCCCAGCTGCCATCATCTCTTACTTGGCCCACTGCAGTAGGCAGCTCCGTATACTACTCTCAACACCATTCCCAGAAGGATTCACTCACACTCTCTGTCACATCACAGCAGTCCTCTGCTTAACACCTTCAGTGACCTTCCAGAATAAAAAGTCCAAAGTCCCTATTTGTATTTTTCAAAGCCCTGCAGATGTGGCTCCTGCTCTCTCGGGCTTCCCTCCTGTAACTCAGTCTTGGCTCATTCTGTTCCAGCCCCAAGGGCTTCCTTGCCATTCTTGGCACAAACCACCACACTCCTGCTCACGGACTATATGCTTAACTCTTCTGCTCTTCCCACCCAGACTCTCTCCTCAGTTCACTCAGATGCTAATCTCATTCAAGAACCCTGCTCCGTCTGATTGTCCTAAAATAGCATCCCCAGAACGCCTACAGCCTTAACCTTGGTTGTTCTTCCCTAGTTGCCACCTGATGTATATTTTTATCAGTCTGTGTGTATTAGTATTGGCCTTCTCCCTTTAGAAGAAGTGAGATGAACACAAGTGCATGCTTTGTCCCAAACTGTAGCCATCCCTGAGGGGGCAACAGTGCCAGCTCCTAGTAGGTGATGAGTAAATATTTGAAAGCATTCTACCTCTGAAACTTTCATCAACTAACTGGAAGAAACATCAAAAGAAGTCCTTTCTGCTCACTATCTCTCTGAATTTAGGGACCAGTGTAATTCACTGGGTGGACTTTCTATTGGTCTAGGTTTAGGGGTAGACACAGAGGAAGAACATGAGCTCATTACAAAGAGTGGAACAAGTCAGCAAAGATTCCTTGAGTATCTATTGAGATATATATATAAAAGCCTAAGCGACTGAATGACCAGTTGACTGGTCGCCAAGATACACACTGACCAGGGGGCAGATGTTCAATGCAGGAGCTGCCTGCTGGTGGTCAGTGCACTCCCACAGTGAGAGCACTGCTCAACTGACCCACAGGTGCCAGACACAGAGCTCACAGCTGGAACTGCCTGACTAGGCCCAAGCCTGCAGCAGGCTCAGCAGGGTCGGGATGAGCGAGAGTGGCAGGAAAGAGTGGGAGGCAGTGTTGGACTTCTGGTTTCAGCCAATCCCCGCAGGCCACGCCGAGGGATTCCACTGGGCCCCTAGTTCATTTATAATCAGTTTCTATTTTGATGTTACTTTTACTTTTTAAACTATCCCCCCTTCCCCCCCCAAAATAGGTCTCTGTCTTATGAATTTGAGGTAATATTTATTTTGAAACAGGCTTGAATTCTCCACTTTAAAATATCAAGTCCAAAGTGGCAGTTTTGTTGCTGTGCTTTGTGTTAACACAAACAGTATGACAACATGAAAAGGGAAATCTAAAGAACACTGTTCCCATAAAGATGCTGCTTATTCTGAGTGAGAGACAGAGGGAAGCATTGCACGAGGACCGGGGAGTAGGCGGGGGGGTGAGGAATGGGGGGGGGTGTCCTAGATTGTAACCTCTGGCATGTGCACAGCCCTTAGTCAGTTAACCCCAGACTACCCGATGCTCTCCTTGCAGCTTTATTACTATTCAATAATCAACACCACAGCTCCATGGCTGGTGGTCCCATGGAGCGCTCACACCGCATACCGGGTTCCCCACTGTGCAAGATAGTGTAACCCCAACTCCCCTTCTCTGTTCAAATGCTGGGCTTCTGGTGATGCCAATTTCCTCCGCTTTTCATAGCGATGGCAGAAAGCGGCATCTGAGGCTGCAAGCAGCGTGGCAGCGGGTCCCCGAGCAAGGCCCCGGGCCCCGGTCACGCTGCCATGTATTAATAGTCCCGTGAAAGCCGTGGCAGAGGTTCAGTCACAGAGGGGATAATATTTGCCTGCTCGGAATCCGTGGTGTGCGGCTGCTATATTGGGACCTAATCCTCCGGGGAAACACTATCTTTGCAGATGGACAGGTTTTCCAGAGTTGCCTCAGAGGATCCCCTGGCCTGTGCTGAACATTCCTGCTTCCATAGTCAGAGCCGCTTTCTCTCCGGCCGTCCCCCGGGGTAGGACCCTGGCCTGGGCGTCAGGCACCGCTGCTCCAGGCCGTGGTTGCTGCCGCCAGGAGGTGAAGGCACTGGCTCTCCAGCCTGCCACTGTCATGCTCGGCCACTCTCCGCTGGCACTGAGCGTGTGTTTCCTAGTCCCCCAACCCTTGGAAACAGAGAGAGAGATCGTCTTACAGAGCACGTCACTCCCCTTGGACACCAGAGCTCCATGCGACGTGCCATGCTCTCGTGGGGGGTCAAGGGCGGGGAGCCAAGGCAGGAACAACTGCTCCCTGAGAGGTCAGCGCTCAGAGAGGAAGAGCCAGAGAACTCAGACACCAGGAATTCTATTTACATTCACCACAGCGGAGGCCAGAACCATGCAGAAATATTAATAGCTTTGGGCTTCTGTCCCAAAATAGCAAAAAAACGAAAAAAAAAAATCCACAAAAAAAACCCCCAAACAAAACAAAACAAAACAAAACAAAAAAACTCATTAAAAAATGGCAATTTGTTTGGAATAGAACTTTCAACTCTGTTCTGGAGAGTTGAAAGTTCTTTTCTGGACTTTCGAGATTTTTTTTCTTTATTTTTTTTAGTAGGGAAGGAAGCAAAAAACTTTTCCTACTTATTTTGACATGAAAAAATGCTGGAAAGGCCATGAACTTTTCTCCGGAAGATTTCATATAGTTAGGAAAAACACCAAGTGTACACATATTTGTTCCATGAATCACCTCTGCACAGGCCCCTGGCTTTTCCTTTAAGTAATGAAAGGAATCAGCATTAACCCTTCTCGGGTTGCCAGCAGCTGTTGCACTTGACGGTTACTTCCGGTAGGCCTCTGGGATGGAGCACTCGCACCACGAGTCAGCCTTCCGGCAGCGAAGGGAAGGGAGAGTGGTCATGTGCTGCCTCCCTGTTGGTGAGATCAAGGTATTCTCTCTGGGACAGGAGCCTCCGAATAACCACCTCCCTCCAAGTGTCCCCATAGGTGACTGTGTTTTAGATTCAAAGTGTATTTCAAATTGGCATTATTTCTCCCAAAGTGGGGTGGTCAGATGAACTGCCGTAGCTTCCCAGTGTGGCCTGGGGTGGCTCTGCCTGGCTGGTAGCCCTGGGCTGGGTTGCCTGCGTAGGAAAGGTGTCACTGTCATATGCCTGGGCTGGAGAAGGGTCGGAGGGTAGACTGCTGCTGTGGTGGGCAGCTCCAGCCAGAAGCCTCTGTGATGGCAGGAGGAATAGCTCTCAGCCAGCAGTGGTCCTGGGACTCCGTGCCCAACTTCTCCCCACCGGGCCAGGCCTCTGTTGGGGGCTGTGTCTGTACAGAGCCGTCAGTCATCACTGGGAATACAAGGCCACGGGAAAGCAGGCTTACCATCCTCCTTCCCGGAAGCCAGGTCTTGGTAGGTGAGAGGAATGGTGAGTGGCTTGGAATGGAGTGTGGGTGGCATAGGGTGGGAGAAGATGCCTCCAGGGGCAGTGACCCCAGATATCTGTCCTGTCTTGGAGGAGAATGGGGTTTTGTACTCAGGTTGAGAGGTGCAGGTGTGGGGGCAGGATCACATAGAAGTCGAGGCTGATTCTGCACGAAGGAGTAATAAATATGGGACAAACCAGGCGAGGGTTGGCTTGGGGTCATGCCTCAAAAATGTTTCACTTGATGGATCTTTAATGTAACCTTGCCCTATGCACAGCCAGCCCAGTTGGGGAGGAGGTAGGAGGAGGGAGAAATTCCGTTGGGTCTCATCTGGAATCTCTCCCTGTAACTTCCTTAGTTTTTCTTGGCTAAGCATGGGACAGCAGACACTTTTTATTTTAGGTGTCTGTTCATTTTTGCACCATGTGCCATGTCGGACCAGGTTGGAGGGCAGTGTGAGACCGGTGTCCCCTGGCGGGTCCTCCCTGCACTGGGATTCAGGCAGTGCACACAGCAAGTTCCCGGCACTGCAAGCACCCACAGGTGCTGTGTTGGTGGTATCTGCATGTTCTGGCCTCGTGTCACCTTAGAGAACCTTTTCCTAATTCCCTGGAAGGTTCCAGTGGGAAAGTCACAGAAGGCTGTCACAGGAAACACCCAAGGCTCAGGGCCTCAAGCTGCCTGCTGAGAACACCCCGGGGTATCATGGCTATTTTAAATTTTCGAGGAAAACAGTGATACTCGGCATCCATCAGACACAGGGCAAGCTTCTCAAGGTAGTTTACGATTTCTACATTAAGTTTCCACATGAAGCTCCTGCTGCTTCCTCGAGATGATGGCATAGCTTACTGAAGCTGGGTTTCCGTGGTCGCTGTGATAAATAGCAGGTGGAAGAGCCAGGGGACCGTGTGGGTGCTGCTGATTTCAAGGCTCCAGAAGCTGCTTGGTGTCTGAGGATGCATTCATCCCATTGATAAGTAAATGTGGTTATTTATGTATAAAATACAGTCCGGCTGATGTGGCTCAGTGGTTGAGCATCAACACATGAACCTGGAGGTCACAGGTCAATTCCTGGTCAGGGCACATACCTCAGTTGCGGGCTCAGTCCGCAGTAGAGGGCATGTAGGAGGCAGCTGATCAGTGATTCACTCTCATAACTGATGTTTCTATCCCTCCTCTCTCCAAAATCAATAAAAATATATTTAAAAAAAGAATAAATTACAAATATTTTTATTTTAATGTATGTGTATTACTTTTTAGTCATTAGGGAAAACGTTCATATTAAGGTAAATCTAATTATTGGACCGTCTAGCTATTTGTTTTGGGCAGGTATGCCCGGAGTCAGTAGTGGAGCTGTAAACCACGTGACTGTGGGGTGAGGGGCCTCTAGTCAGAGTGTTAATGATGGCTTCTATGTGTTTTGCATTAAAATGGGACAAATGTGTAAGTCCAAAAATAACCATTCCCAATTCAGATTAAGTTTGACATAAACTAATGCTGTTCCTTTGTATGTTCCTCATTCTCCTTCATACTCGTGCGTTGTTCATGAGCTGGCATGTTCATCTTTTAGACATGAACAAACATGTTCTCTCTTGTTTTCTTCTTTCAGAGAGTGGGTTAATCGAGCCCCATCTATTCACTTTCTGAGAGTGTTAATCTGTCTGAGACTACTCATGAGGGATCCATGTTACCAGGTTGGTTGGAAAAAAAATAAAGATATTTTGTACTGCTGATGAAGATGGAATATAACACTGGTGGGTTTTTCTTCAAAGCAGACCATGTTAAACTTTTTCATTCTCTTGCAACTTAATAGCTTTCAAATTTGGAAAGTATCTCAGCTGCTATTGAAAAGATAGGAGAAAAGTAATTTAATGAGGACCAAAAGGAAAATCTCTACATTTCTACTATATTACTTATGGGATTAAGTGGATTACTTGTTGGTCTATGTTGTCATGATTGGCTGACATTGAAAACCACAAGCAGTCAGAGAGGTATGCACTTGGCCACACCTTCAAGCATGTTCAAGGTCAAAGTCAGCTGTGACCAGTAGGGGTGCTTTGGGGGGCTCTAGAGTCGTGGTGGCTCCACATTTTCCCTTTAGAAGAACCATTCCCTTCCTCCTCCTGTATTTTAGGCTGGCTTTGTGCTGCTATAGTTTAGCCAACCACAATCATTTGACTAAGAGACTTAGGGCACCTCTGATGGCTTTCTGTCCTGATAACTTACAGTTTCCTAGGAGTTTTCATTTCCCTCATGACCAACCACACAGAACTGTATGTTCCACACCTTTCTGAGCTGCCATGAGTGATGCAGCATGGGTCACATATGATAAGTGTGGACCATATGTTCCACTTTGCCCCAGTCAGTCCCAGTGTGTGCTCACTCTTCCTACTTAATAAGTAGTCACACCCTCTTTTCTCTCCAGCATGTCCCCATTGGGGTGAGAACAGTGCATATATATTCAATAATTTGAAGGAAAGTGGAGGCAGGTGGAGAGCTAGTGCTTTGGCTTATAGAAATTAAGAAAATATTTGCCCTAGCGATGTCCTGTTTGTTCAGAACACTGGTGACAGTTGTGTCATGCTCGGCTGATCTCCTTTCTGGGCCAAGTTCCTGATGGAATCAGTCAGGGTTGATTGTACTGCTCTCCGAAGGAAAGAATTCAGCAACCTTTTTGTTTATGGGGATTTCGTTACCAACACCCACATTAAACTATTATCTCTCTGGTTTCGTCTCTCCATAGAAGGGGATGCTCTCCGAATCGCTCCTTCTGGCAGCCTTCTCGCAAAGAAGAGCATGTGCTCAGGCAGTTACTCGGTATCTAAAGTTGCCAAGAATTGTTGGCCAAAGTCACAGAGCTAGGCTGGGGTTTACGACCACTGATGCCTCAGAGTCCCGGCGAGCCTTCGCTGCGGCTCGGCATTCCTGTCCTCGCTGGTGGTGTCCAGCATCCTCAGCGGCTGTTCCAAACCATCTTTCTCCTCACACCCAAACCACCTGCTGCCCCTGTCATTCTCATCACCGTACATCTGTTTCACGGGGAAATCTGCAGACGTCCCAGTGGGAGTGCTCCCATTTCCTCCTCTTTGTTGCTTGAAATACTTCAATATTTGGATTATCGCGCAACTTTGCTTCTCTCCTTGTTTCAAAGGAAACATCCCCCGTCCTTGCCAAGGCTTACCCTTCCATCTGTTCTCTTGTCAGTGGCTCCCCTTCTGTTGGCCTTTATCATAAATACCCCCTTTTTGATCCTTTATCCCTTCCAATCTTCCATCTTACCATCATCACTGCATTTTTTGAAAGGTCAGGATATGAGCCCACTTCCTTTCTATCTGGACAGTGAATTCTGTGCACAGGGCTCTCTCTGGAAGCCATGGAATAGCCCAGAGTGTGGCAGGCTTCCATCATTCCTTCATCCAGAGGCTGCAAGCTGGTGGCTTGCAGAGCGAGTCTTTCCTGCCAGTGTACAGAGGCTTCAAGCCTCTTGGAGATTCCAGCAAGAAAACACTGGATGAAAGAGAAGCCACCATTGCTTAGAGTTTTCCTTAATTAAAGGCAGACATGCAAGGTTTCAGGTATCCTTGGAGCTCTGAGCAGCATAAGATAAATTTCCAGCTGGATTCATATAGTGAAACCCCAGCACATTACTTAAAGGTCCCAAACTACAATTACATTAGAAGCAACAGTGAGAAGGCAGTCCAGCGGAGGGGCCCTGTCTCAGCCTCGCCCTCCCTGGCCTCTGCAGCACTGCACGCCTGTCCCGCACTCTCTGCCTCATCGACCCTGAGAACCTCCAGCTCTTCCTCAGCCCTTTGCATTCTTCTTCTGTTCTACTTACTTGCTCTCTTTTTAAATCCTGCTTTTCTAAATGTTAACTTTCCTAAAGTCCTTTTCTTTTTTTAAAAAAGTACATTTTATTGATTTTTATAGAGAGGAAGGGAGAGAGATAGAGAGCCAGAAACATCGATGAGAGAGAAAACATCGATCAGCTGCCTCCTGCACACCTCCTACTGGGGATGTGCCTGCAACCAAGGTACATGCCCCTGACCAGAATCGAACCTGGACCCCTCAGTCCGCAGGCTGACACTCTATCCACTGAACCAAACCGGCTTCGGCTGTCTTTTTTTTTTTTTTTTTTTAAATAATATATTTTTATTGATTTCAAAGAGGAAGGGAGCGGGGAGAGAGAGAGAAACATCAATGAAGAGAGAGAATCTTTGATTGATTGCCGCCTACATGCTTCATACTGGGGATTGAACCTACCACCAAGGCATGTACCCTCACCAGAAATTGAACCTTGACCTCCTGGTTCATAGGTTGACGTTCAACCACGGAGCCACACCAAAAGGGCCCAAAGTTCTTTTCTTTATCATCTTCTTCCCCATCTTCCTAGCTCTTGGCTTCAACTATCATTTTTTGTTGTTGCTGTTCTTTGCTCCCAACCACATATCTGCATTCTCAAACTTTCTCCTTTACTTAAGCCCTGCATTTCCAGGGATATGATGGGGACAGCCATCCCAGTGACACAGTAGCATAATGGTTCTCCAGGTGTGATCCAGGAACTGCTTACAGGTCTCTGAATCCCCTTCAGGGGTTCACAGGATGAAAACTGTCTTCAAGATAGTGCGCAGGTGTTATCTGCCCCTTTGCTCTCACTCTGTACAAGTGTGCAGTGCGGTGTCCCAGAGGCTGCAGGTTGCGTGATATTGTCATGGCTGTGACGGCTGATGGAACATGTGCTGTGCGCTCTTGATTTTTAGGAGTTTCTCACTGGCGATTCCTAATATGGTAAATGTAGATAGACATAACCCATATAAGCAAAGTCTTTGGGGTTCTGAAGAATTTGTAAGGGTTTTAAGGGGTACAGAGACCAAGGAGTTTGAGAAGCATTGTTGTAGCACATTATGTGCAATAACTTCCAAATGGACCTCTTTAATTCTCCCTCAAGCCTTTTAGAAGAGTGGTTACTATTGCTCCTGGGGAGATAAGTGAAGGCCAATGCATAGAGGGGGTCTTAAAATCGTGATGGAGGAATCAGCAGTGGGGAAACACTGATAAGTTTGCACAGTTAGTGATTCAGGATCAAGGGCTTCCTGCAGTATGTTCAGCATTGCTTTAGTTGCTGAGTAGGTTCAGGATGAGCATGTCTAATGGCAATGACATTTTTGGCTGTGGTAGACATAGTGGTGGACTAACAACAACCACATTGGTGTGCAGTGTGTTCCATTTTTTTAAGCATGCTTTTTATCTGTATTATATTATTGTATCCCCCCCCCTTTTTTTTTTTAAATAAAAGGAAAACTCAGGGGATAGGCAGAACAAGGACATTTGCCCACATTTTGCACATCAAACTGAGGTCTGATTGACTAATGGACTTTCTCCAGGTCATTAGGCTCAGAAGTACAGACCTGTCCTGTGACCCTCCAGGCTGTGATCAGGGAGAAAACACTGAGGCCCGACAGGGCAAGCAGGAGGTGGCCCTGTACTCTAAGCAGGCAGTCATGTTTGCTTTTCAGATCAGTAACCAGAGCTGTCAAGCCCAGGTATGGCATACCTTGTGGTCTTGCTTTTCTCTAGTTGATGCTTTCAGGTTGGAACAATCCCATTGTTGTAACCATTGGAAATACAAGGAAGACCACGGGTCTGTGAGCAATCACCTGGACTTGTTCCAGTCTCCATAGGAGAATGGGAGGGGGCAGAATGTTTATTTCATAAATGAAGGGTGAAGTTTTGAGTACATAGCAACAAAATTCTCTTTGCCCTTTTATTAAAAAAAAACAAAAAAAAATTTTAAATTATTTTTTTAAATCCTTTCCCAAGGATATGTTGAGAGGAGAGAGAGAGAGAGAGAGAGAGAGAGAGAGAGAGAGAGAGAGAGAGAAACCTCGATGTGAGAGAAACATGGATTGGTTGCCTCCCACATGCACTTGGCCTGGGATTGAACCCCACAAACTGGGTATGTGTCCTGACAGGGAATTGAACCTGTGACCCTTTGGTGCATGGGACAGTGCTCCAATCAGCTGAGCCACCTGGCCAGGGTCGCTTTGCCCTTCTTATACTTCATAACAGTACTTCTCAAACTATGTTTCCCAGTGGTTAAGTATTCTGTGAACAGAATTGTGCACCGACAGATATGTTTAGGAAAGGCTGCACTCCAGGTCTCCCATTGGAGCAGCATAGTAAAAGCTCTGAGGAGTCCTATGATGAAGCACTTTGTTAAACTCTGTGTAACCTAGCTCCTAGCATTTCCCAAGCTAATTTGAATTTGATTACAAAACTTTTTTTTTTTGTTTTTTTATAGAATTTCTAATACCACCCACTGCACAGAATAGAATAATCATCCACATGATATAGTTTAGGAAACACTGACATAGTCCCATAGTGTTAACATTAATTTTTGGATTGATATATTTCTCATCAAGGTAAACATTTAAAGATGAACTTAAAAAACAAACAAGAACAACAACAAAAACAAAATGTTTATAGTGAACTTGACCATGACAAATCATTTGAACATTATTCTTTTCCTTGGTGTCTTCTCATTTCCTTGGTGTCTTCTCATTAAAATTTAAATCCACTTTATGTCAGCGACTTTGAGATTTGAACCTTTTGCCCTTATCTCATTTTTCATGGCCTGTTGTACTTCTTTTTCACCTATATATTCTATCAGCAACTCAACATATCCAATCAAGTCTTCTCCTCTAACCTAGTCTAATCTTCTCTCCCACTTGGTGTTTGTTAATCAAGGTCTTGTCTCCCTGTCACCCACGCTCTAATATGGTGATGCCTTGTACTTTCTTCTCTTTCTTCCAATGTGTCTTCCTCTTCATATCACTTCAAAGACTATCTCGGCCTCTCCATCTGCCTTCCCACTGCCATGGCAAACCAACTGGGCCTCCAGTTGACTCTTTGCCTCTCCAGTTCATTCTAAGACTAGAAGGGAAGTCCTTATAGCTGATTCTGATCAGTTCCTTGTTCACACATTTCATTGGGTTTCCTGGTCGGCATGATGAAGCCTAAATCCAGGCTCATGTCTCAGGCCTCCCTCGGTGTGATCCCATCCTGCTTTTCTAACATTAGTCCCAAGAGTGTTCTTCCTGGAGTTATGGAGGTGCTTTGTAGAGTTATGAAACATCTTGATGTTCTTTCTGACAACTTCTTTGCGCCTTGGAGCTCACTGTTCTTTTTGCTTGGAATCTCCTTTATCTTCCCTTGCCCTTCATCCCCCCCCCCCCCCCCCAGCAGATCTTTCCATCTTTTTCAGCCCATCAGAGCCCCATCACTCTTATGAAATTTCCCTTAGTCCTCTCAGCAGGATATCACGTGTCCCTAGGACTTCATGAATAACTTGCTTATAACATTGACCAAATTCTGCCTTAAATTCCAGTTCTCTGTGAATCTACCTTATGTCAGAAATTCAGGAAGTAGGCCTCTGCCATCTACCTATTTGTGTCCTCTTTAGAGCCTAACCCAGGGCTTTTACAGAACAGGAATGGAAAAAAAATTTAGAATAAATATTAATAGTTTTTAAATGTTACTTCTATTTTTATATGTATAAAATATCCCAATATCGCTAGGGATAATGTATACAACATTCCTGTGTTCTTTAATTATAGCTTTTCTGGCGTGAGTAGCAGTGAAGAGAATTCAAATTAATAGGTAGTCACAGAACTATTTTTAATTGAGTTATAAAGGTCCTTTCACTCTTAATTTAAACACGGATATGTTTAGTCTTTCCAAATTCACTTTGCACAGAAGAAGGAAACCTTGACCCCAGAGGCCTTGAGAGCCTGCACCTGCCCCCACCTGCCCCACCTGCTCCCTGGTAGGTCGGCTTCCTGGCGGGACTTCACTATTCCCTCTCACACTCGTGTACTCAGCCCCCTGCACTTCCCAGAACTGGACCGATGGCTGATGTTTATATTTCAAATAACTTCCTTGTGTGCATGTTAAGTAAGAAGTGAGACGTCAACACAGCTTTAATTAAACAGGTTAGGGCCACCTGAACTACGTTGGCCTGAAAACAAATGTCAGTGTGAACAATCCGAGAACACTTCCTATTCATAGCTCCAAGCTGGTCTCCAGCCTCCCAACCCCCTCTCTTCCTCTTTGGCACTTTGAGGAAGCTTCGGGATTGTGATGAGATGCCTTCTGACTGGGAATTGGATTTTTAGACCTGTGTCAGGAGACATTTGGCAAAGATGACCCTCACACTGGTTCAGAGCATGGGTTTAAGAAGACCATTATACTAATCATTTTAAGGGAAGCTTGTAGTCTAGTCTGTTCTTATTGGAACTCAGAGTGTGAGTCAGCATTTCCACTCAGCCCCCAGGCCAGGTTGATGCAGCTGGTCTGCAGACCACACCAGGCTGAAGCCCAGAGGAAGGGTCTGGGCATTTGGCTTGTCACTTAGGCAAGTGGCTAACCTTTCTGGGTCTTAGTTTGCCTGTCTGCAACATGAGAGGATTAAAGGGAGCGATATCTAACTGTTCCTTTGAGCTCTACCAGTTTCTGATGACATGGGAGAAAGTGAAAAAGTGAGGAGTTGCCTGAGGTTATGAGCATATTTATATTTTCTGATTCTCAACCCAACCTTCATTTTGATTAACAGTTTACCTTAAATGTAGTATGACAAGCATTCAAGTTTTCCACATTGATGTTAGAATATGGACCTTCATGAAATAATTCTAAATCTCATGAATTAATATAAGAAATTGCATGCAAAACACACCTTTCCCCCCATCTTTTATGTATGCTCTGTTGTTTCTGTTTTATTAGGAAATACTCTACAGCTTGGGTGGCATTGAAAGCCTAGCTCAGGTAAGATTCCTTTTGCAGTGGCTGCTCTGGCCTTTCCATGTTGCTCCAGGGCTCTGGGCAAGGATTACATGTGACGGAAGATGGCTTTTTGAAACCATAAGCTGCCTGCCCAGGGGAGGAAGAGGTAGGGTTAATAAGTGAGAGTGTGAGGCAGGACACTCACAGGGCAGGGCGGGACCCATGACATTTTGTTCTGGCTAATTGGGCTCACTTTACCTAGCCTGCTGAAACGAGAAAGTGCTATAAAAGGTCACATGTCTTTAGTTAGTAATGAAAAGAAATAGATCTTGGCTGGCAGGCCCAGTCCTCAGTGCTGCACGTACCAAGTGATGGGAGGGAATATTGGCGATGAAGCTGTTCTCAACCTTCTCACACTTTTTTAAAAAAAATCACCGTGTTCACTAAAATTTTAACCAGTAAATGAAAATGTGAGGAATGATTTTAACTTCATTTATTTTTTAGCTTTGGTAACTACTGAGGGAAAGTAAGCAGGAGAATAGATGTGCTGAGCTCATCAAATGCTTGGGTTTGTTAATTTGCTAATGCATGGCATGGCATTGAATTGAAACAGTCCATTCTCCTAAAACCCAAAGCATGTACAGAAAAATGGTTTTCATAGTAAGTCTGTGGTCCTCAAAACTCACTTTGAATTATTAAAGGAAGATGAAGTTTTATGGCAATTTAATGTTAAATTTATGCTATTTTCATTTTTGGGAAATGAATACAATGTTATCTAGCTTTTGTTTTTAGGATTTTAAAAAATTGGTTGGAGATTTACCTCATTTAATGAAATAGTCTTTCATAAAATTGTAAATGACATTCTTATTCACTTTAACCTCCATTAAAATGTTGGAAATTAAATTGTACTAAAAGTCACATTGAAGAAATAAACTTCCATGTACTACATATTATGCATCTTATTTGTATCTTATAATTAAATTACACTACAAACCTATTCATCTACAAATTATTGGGGGACTTTTCAGAGTTTTATACAGTTTTTACATGGTCCCTCCCTAACTTCAGGGCATGTGAGAGAAGGCCTAGAAACCAGAAACTCAGTCACCCATTTGCACTTAAAGGAAAGGGCCCGAAAGCACTATTATTTGGTGAATCTGTTGCGCCACCTATAGCTCATCTTTAGAAGTGCACAATCTTGTCACCTGCTTGTATGCTTTTGGTGTCTTCTCTGACTTGCTTGTTGGTTTGGTCCTTCCTGCAGTACATGGAGATCGTGGCCACTGAGTACCTCAGCTACAGCGAGGAGCAGCACAGTGTGGGCAAGCTGGTCAACATGACGTGTAAGCATGGCCGGGGGCAAAGGGGTGGTACACAGCCAACTCTGCACGTGCTGAATAAGCAGCACGGTGTTTGCAGCGCAGCAGGAAAAGGGATACTTTGAACATTTATGTGGTGAGACTCCATGCCATTTGTTGTAGTCAGTGCCGAAATAGACCCTGAAGGAAGACTTCTAGATCCACAACTGTTACCTCGAAAAGCCCAATTTCACGTTTAAGAATATTTTCATTGAGCACAAGCTTTTGCTATATAATGCAGGAGAGACTTCAATACCAGCAGATTTTGGTAAACATATCTTTTGGTTCCTCTAATTCCTACTAACATGTGAGAGGCTATTCAATTTTCATCTATAAAGTTGGGTTAATCATCGTGCCTATCTTCAAACATTGGAACATCCAAAGCATAGAAAAGAAAAAAGCCCTAATGTGATAACAATAATGTGAACTCGTTGGTCTGTGTGGTGAGCTGATCTCTGGTCACCCAGTCTTCTCTGGAGGCTCTTCCCAGCCTCACCTTCCATCCCCTTCAGAGCCTTCCTGCCGTGGGGTACTCATCCCCTTCTCTTTGTGGACAGGCTGGTTTCCCGCCCGTGTTTGCTTACTGGGCAGCACCCTGATTCAGTCACAGGGAGAGAAGTGCAGGTGGTGAGCTCTGGGCACAGGAAGGCTCTTTGAGAACAACCGCTTCCCTCAGCCGAGGAGTCCTGCTGAGTCCATCACATCTGCTGGCTGCCCTCTCCTCTCTGTCCAGTTGACATCTTTATGGGGCGGGTCTTGGAAAAAACAGGCTTCTCTGTGAACTTATAACGATGTTAAGAAACTCATTTAACTTTAGGTGGAAGGAAAGCTTTGCCTTTTTGCTACCCCCTTATTTCATTATGTAATAGTGTCATACAATAAATACCAGCTGAGCTGGAGAGGTACTTCTTGAACTCAAAAACAACAACAAACAACCCAGTTCCTTCCCCCTCCATTGTTCTTTCTGTGCTGTATCTCCTTTCCCATTGCCCTTTCTCTGCTGGCTCCTTAATACTTGAGGCTTGAGGTGCTAGGAGTACCACCCTAGTTCTGAATCCCTCTTTGAGTTATTTTCTTTCTTTATAGATATTTTTCAAAAGCTTGCTGCTGTGAAAGACCAAAGAGAATGGGTCACCACGAGCGGCGCCCACAAGGTGAGTGGTCCCGGGAAGTCGACACTTAGCTCCACGTGGCAATGGCTCACCCTGCCTGGGGTTCAGAGCCCTGTGGTCAAGTTCTATGTCATTATAACTCAGATCTGCTAACCGAGCCTCAACTTGTAAATCTCTGCTAACCCTTGAATATTCTCTACCAGCCCAAGGAGCAAATATAGGGGTTTCTGAAACTTTCCCCCCTTATGTCACTTAATACCAACTAAGTTTATTAATTTAAATGTTGCTTGCAAAGCCCTGACTATACATAAACTGATCCTAGGTGCATGCTTACAAATAAACAGTGCAATGTGTGTGTTCATAGAAATGCATTCCATGTGGCACCAGAGGGAAGACTTTTAGATCCCAGGTCTTGTCTTGAAAAGCCCAGTTTCATGTTTAAGATTTTCACTGAGTATAAGCTTTCTTTATTTAATGTCAGAGGGACTTCTGTAAACAGCAGATTTGGGTAGCAAAATTTTTTGTCACATTTAATTTCTATTAAAATGTCAGAAGCTATCTACTTTCCATCTACAAAGTTGGGTTCATAATAAATAATACCTATTTCATAAAATTTGGAACATTCCATTTTCAAAAAACAAGTTTTTGTTTGTTTTCCATTTTAAAAAGTGAGTTTCTAGGTTATGTTGGCTTGAACCATAGGAAGTTGCCATGGTTTGTAGGCCACTTTTACATGGTCCCATTTTATAATTAGACTAGAGGCCTGATGCACAAAGATTTGTGCGAAAACGGGCCTTTCTTCCCCTGGCTGCCGGCACTGCCTTCACTCTGGCCAGAGTTGCCTTTCCACCTTCCCATGCTGCACAGAGGCCCGGAACTGCTGGGGTTGTGTGGCATGCATTTGTCATCACCATGGTGACAATGCAAGCATCCTGCCGCTGGCCGCTCAGTGCCAGTGTATGCAAATTAACCTACCATCGTTGTTGGGTTAATTTGCACACTCACTTCTGTTTGGCTGGTGGGCATTGCAAAGGTACGGTCAATTTGCATCTTTTCCTTTTATTAGTGTAGATGGTATAATATTATAAGCATATGGGTCAAATGTACATTTCAAGATAGTTGAATGCAGGTTTAACCAAATAGACTACATTTATATTTATAGCAAAACTATTTACATGGTAGCTGCCTAGAGCCAAATTTTAATAATTTGTTGATTTCTTATATTCCAGGAAGCCACTTCCCAGGGTATATTAGAGTAAGGTTGCCTCAGATGCTGCTCATTGGATAGCAGGGATGGGGAACCAATTTTCTGCCAAGGACTGCCATTTGGATATTTATATATTCATTTGTAGGCCATACAAAATTATCAGCTTAAAAATTAGTCTGCTATATTTGGTCAAACATTTAATTAACTTACCCCTAATGCCTTGACAGGGCCAGATCAAATGATTTTGTGGGCCTTATATAGCCTGCTGGCCATGCATTGCCCACCCCTGGTACAAGGAATGATTCTAGGTGATATAAGGTCAACATTTCTCATTTAAATAGTCATATTTCACTGATATTATTACTTAGAAGTTGCTAAACCTTTGTTAGTAGCATTGAGGTTTTAAGTGGATGTGGCAAAAATTATAATAAGGATCTCAGTGACTGACATTTGGAAAATATTTAAGTTAGAAGACAGAGAGAGGAAAGAAAAAGTGAGATGAAAAAAGAGGAAAGGATCAGAGAAGCAAAGATAATGATAGCTTCATAAAAATGCATGAAATCATAAATTTTTGGTTATATAAAGGAGAAAAACCTACTGATGGAAGACCCAAAGTTGTCCAGCAGTTGATGCAGATGTGGCCTGGACTCTGTCTGAGTGGGTACTTCTGGGGGACTATCGAGTTTAAAAAATGTAGACAGAAGAGCAATGAACTTGTATTAATGGGAACTCAGCAGAGCAAACTGATAAGATCAGAAGACTTCTAGCCAAGTCATGCTCCTCAAGATGATTTCTGGAAGCATTGATTCATGCTCTTTCAACATGAATTAGACATCTGAGAGGCAAATGGAGTGCTTCGTAGTGTAGACATATCTTGCTTAGTTGGGGGTGGTGGGATGACAGTTTTCAACATTTTGGTGAAAATGGTTCCACAATGCCTGACTTGGAATGCGTTCCCCACGACCGGTATTCTCTGTACTTAGTTATCATGATCAGTGTTTATGCCATTATTCTCCCCACTTCTCCCTGGGGAGAAGGGTCAGAAGAAGCAGAGCAGACTTCTTGGGCACATGGAAATAGAGGGAAGTGTGAGAACCGGGGCTGGCCATGTGGCTTGGCCCCCTTTTCCTTTCTGTCTTGGGCAAGGAATGGCTACAAAGTGCCAGAGTCAAGAGTTCCAGTCAAGGATCAACGCCTGGCCCCTGTAGAGAGCTGGATGCCATGAATGTTTAACAGAACTCCCTTTGAGATTAAGCCTCTATGGTCTTTGCAAGGAAACATTATACTGTTCTAGAAGCGTATGGTACTTATGCAGTTAAACTTTCTTTTCCTTCATTTGTTCAGACATTAGTAAATTTACTCGGTGCCCGAGATACCAGTGTTCTGTTGGGTGCCCTTCTGGCTCTGGCTAGTTTGGCTGAAAGGTAAGTGTGTTTTGATACACTGTCCAGTTCTACTACTGTAGCAATTTAGGTGGCAGAGATACCAAATAGATCAGTTTCTCTACTTACGTGGCTACTTACTCAGAAAAATAAGCATAGCATACCATTAACATATATATTTAAGAGGCTCTTGGATAGAAAAGCATAATTTTAAATTTTAAGCTGTTGGAAAGACAAATCACAGTTTAAATTTTTCTTTCTTTTTTTCCCCCCCCAACCAGAAATATTTACCTAGTCTTTCATTCAACATTCAGTTACTTCTACTTTCAAAATTATTATTGACAATTGAATTTCCCTAATAATTTTTTCCATTCTTCCCTGTGTACTTACTTTGACATATTCAACATTTTCAAATATTATTACCCTTAGAAAAACCTAAATAACCTGTCCTCTAATAGATCTGATTACTTAAAATAAAAGAGCTGGAAGTATATTTTATGCCAATAAGTGGATCATTGCTTTTTTTCCTCTGAGTTTTTTTCTCCAACTTTATAGGAAACAGTTGAAATATAATTGTATGTATTTAAAGTATATAACATGATGATTTATATACATTGTGGAATTATGACCAAGATCAACGTAATTAATACATCCATCACCTCATGTAGTTATCTCTGTTTGTGTGATAAGAACACAGATCTGCTCTCAGCAGCTTTCAAGTATACAATGCCATATTAGTACGTGTAGTCACCATGCTGCACATTAGATCCTTAGGATTCATTCTTCTTATAACTGCAAGTTTATACCTTTCCTTTAATCTATATATTCCCATTTCCTCCTCTTCCCAGACCCTGGCAACCACACTCCATTCTATTCTGTTTCTACTTAATCAGCTTTTTTGTTTGTTTGTTTTAATGCTGTTTTTAGATTCCACATACAGTATTTGTCTTTCTCTTCCTTCACTTAGCGTAATGCCCTCTGTGTTCATCCATGTTTCTTATTTTTATGGCTGAATAATATTCAATTGTATATATCACATTTGCCTTTCCATCCATCTGTCAAAGAACAAATAGCTCATTTACATATTTTAGCTCTTGTGAATAGTGCTGATCATTACTTTTTTGGTGAGCAGCATGGTTCCCTTTGCAGTAAAGGAATTAAGTTATCATCATACTATTATTAAACAGATTTATGACCTATACTGTTAATTGAATGTTGGGATGTGATACAACCCTGCCCCATGGAGTTATATTGCATTTTGTTTTCCTCCTGAGATAATATTAGAGCTAGGATATTAAATAAGTGAATATGGTAAACTGTGTTTTTAGTAGTTACTAATAGTTTTCAATTTGTAGCCCAGAATGTAGGGAGAAGATAAGTGAACTCAACGTTGTAGAAAATCTGTTGATGATTTTACATGAATATGACTTACTTTCCAAAAGGTAGGATTGCTCACAGGGAAAAAGACAATGTCTTATATTTGATGAAAATGATTATTATTTTTTATTATCTCATATTTTTTACATTATTAACTGAATATCTTAAGTCAGCTTTGCATTTGTTTTCTATTTAAACTTATGTGAAGTAAGTAGAGCAAGGTGGTGTTCTTTAGTCTTATATTACTTCTAGATCTGGGCATAGAATCAAATTGTATAAATTCTATGATCACATCTTTAATATATTTCTTATTGCATTTATTTACATCTTGTCTCTTTAAGGAAAGAAAATCTGACATGGCTCTATTTTTAGATTGTGTGTTGAAGAAATGATTAATTGCTAAAATCTATTTTGCTTAAGGCCAGTAAAATAAATTATAACAGGTACTGGCCTTTTTCATGACCTCCTATTTTTACAACTCAAAACAGAAACTAGTAAAATTAAATCATTCAATTGAACTACATATTGCTCTAAAGAATTACTATATACAGATAGTTATTAGTTTGTCTTTAAATAGAGTTGCAGTCAACATCATTTGATATGTAGTCAAGTAAATAATTTTTTAAAGAGGCGAAATAGATAACAGAAAGTCAAGTAATAAAACTCTGACACTTAAATTCATAGTAAATCCTAGATTCTCCTTTAAAGCCATTTTATTGTCCTTTTACAAGCTACCCCTGAACTCATTCACCCAACTAACAGCCTCTCACAAGTGCTGGCGAACCACAGATGAATTAGATACGAGTGAACAGAGTAGGAGAGAACAGGCACGCACATCAGCGGTCTTGCCACAGCACTGTCCGTGGTGAGGTCCCTGGTGTGTCTGTGGTTCGGCCCCTGGTGCACTGGATACGCTGGAGCACAGAGCAGAACCTTCGAGGGGGCACACAGGTTTTCCAAGGGCAGGAGGAGTGATCGAGGCCGAGGGAGAGAGCGAGTGGAAACAGAATATGCTCCCACTTGAAATGGTATGTGTTAGAGGATCTTGCATGGTTGGGCACAGCTGGAGCCAAGAATGCAGGAGGGAAAGTGCCAGAAACCTAGACTAGACAGTATTAATGACACATTAAAAATACAGCTAATTTTGGTCAGGCCCTGCTCTAAGTCCTTCTGTGTGTTTACTCATTTGAGCTGCACAGTAACCCCATTAATGTCCATATTTTATGGCCAAAGCAATAAAATACCATTAGGTCATGATGGATTCTTTGTGCTAAAGAAGAAGTGTAGTTTTTTGTTTTTGTTTTTTGTTGTTGTTTTGTTTTGTTTTTTATCATGAATAGCAGGAGGGCTCACAGAAAGATGTTAAGTAGGATCAGGTTTATTTGGGGGGGAGGAAGATTACTCTGAAGGCAGTGTGTGGGGCCTCTGGTGTGGGGAATACAGCTGCATGATATCCACATAGAATAAGGAAGGAATGTGTTGGGTAGAAAGTCTGAAAGGTAAAGAATATGGTTTATCAAAGAACATATGTTCTGAATGTCACAGCATGAAAGTGAGGAGCTATGGAAAATTGGCTCAGGGGAAAGGGATTTTGAAGGGAATGAGAGTATTGGAGATGTAGATGACAGAGGGGCTTATACCTGGAGCATAGTCAAATATTACAGGGATGGGAGGAGCCGTGGGGCTAGCTAGCTGCACGACTTACTAGAGACTTGATCCCAGCAGTTGCCCAGGAAACAGGGGCACTGAAGGTTCTTGATTGGCAGTGGCAGATTGAGATGATTTCCACTCTTCTATGGTGTCATGAATCAAGATTAGGGACAAAAGAGGAAGAGCTGATTTAGGGAGGAGAATAATGTCTTTGAGTTTAGACACAGTGGAGTTAGTACCGCATAGTAAGTTGCTGAAGACTAAGATAAAGCTTTTATATATCTTGTGTCTTGAGCACACTGCAGGTCGCATTTATGTATCTGACATCTATTTGCTAGCTAGAAGTGTTTTAGCCAGACCAATGGGGTTACAATGAGAATATGACTTAGAACAGCAGTCAGCAAACCGGGACCTGAAAGCTAAATTTGGCCCCCTGCCTGTTTTTGTAAATAAAGATTTATTGAGACACCGCCATGCCCCATTTATTTATATGGGTTGTCTATGACTGCTTTTGCTCATTTTGGCATGACTGGATCGTTGTGACAGCCTATATGCCAGCAAAGCTGAAAACATTTGGCTGGGGCCCAGCCCTTCACAGGATATGCATGTTGACCTGCGATTTAGAAAACCTTAGGCGGATCCTTCACGCAGTGATGACAGCTCTGGTCTAGATGTAGTCAATGACCCTCTCCTGCACTGACTCTCGTCCTCGCCGCCTGCCCCTCAGGCTGACCGCGGAGCTGCTGCGCCTGCTCTGTGCCGAGCCCCAGGTGAAGGAGCAGGTGAAGCTCTACGAGGGGATCCCCGTCCTCCTCAGCCTGCTCCACTCAGACCACCTGAAGCTGCTCTGGAGCGTCGTCTGGATCCTGGTGCAGGTTTGCGAGGACCCCGAGACCAGCGTGGAAATCCGCATTTGGGGAGGCATCAAGCAGCTCCTTCACATCCTAAGAGGGTGAGTGAGGGCGGGCTCTGGCCCACGTTGCCCTAGTCATGGACTGCAGATTGGAAACGTGCTCGGCTCGCTCCCTCCTGGTCTATAGTAGTCAAGCAATAACTCCAAAGACAACCTATCCTCTTACCACATAGCACTGAGTTTAACGCAAGGAACCATTTTTCCTCGTTGGCTCAAGTCATAAGAGAGAATAGAGTTCTTTCACATCTAACGAGGCATTTCTGTGACGCAATGTTACGATATTCTGCTGGGAAGATGAGAGATGTCAACACTTTTTCTATGTGAAATATGTCTCAGTGCTCTGGGAGAATTTATTACCCCACCTGGATAAACAATATCCTTTCAGAGCCTGTGCCTGCCCCTGCGCTGCCTCGAGCCGGTTCAAGGGGTGAAGGCTGCCAGGTTTTCTGCCAGCGTGAGTATGAACAGGTGGTGTTGACAGGGCAGTTTCCAGGGCGCCGGTTCATACCCATTCACCTGCGGTCACCACTGGGCCCAGATGATGAGGGGGACTCCATCAACATTATCTTCAGGCACAGAAATCCGGGCAGAGCTGCTGTCAAAAACAAACAAATGGAAAAATATGGTGCACATAGAACAAAAGGGATTAAAGCAGATAAAACACACCAAGACTCTATTATGGAAGATGTTACATCACACAAACAAAAGAACAAATGTTTTATTTTGTCAAAGAAGTCAAACAGCACAGGAAGTTTAGGAAATGAAATTAAAGACGAGAGGGGAGGATAATAGAAAGGGGAGGAGAGAGGTAGCGAGCTACGAAAGAAGACAAAGATGGAATAAGCTACACAAAACTGCTAAATTCACTAGAAACTGGAAATAGGAAAAGGATGGGCAAGCTCCTCCTTTAGCCAGACCAATGGGGGTACAATGAGAATATGACTTAGAACAGCAGTCCTCCTTCTCTCTTCTCCTTCCTCCTCCTCCTCCTTCCTTCTCCATCTTCCTCCTCTTGTCTCGCTCTCACTCTGTACAGAGATTTCTTCAGCAGGACTCAGAAAGCACTAACGAGGAAGGAGAGTTGGTAAGCTGACCTGTGCACTAACTTTTCCCTTCCAGAGACAGGAATTTTGTCTCTGATCGCTCTTCCATCGGGAGCCTGTCCAGTGCGAATGCGGCAGGCCGAATCCAGCAGCTCCACTTGTCAGAAGATCTGAGCCCTCGGGAAATACAGGAAAACACTTTCTCTCTCCAAGCAGGTATTTATAGCATATTATTATGTTTTGCTATTGGGCATTGTATAATATTACATTAATTATTCTCTTTATTTTTAATTTATTGTATTATTATTATTTTTTAAATCCTCACCAGAGGATATTTTTTTCATTGATTTTTAGAGAGAGTAGAAGAGAGAGGGAAAGACAGAGAGAAATATCAATGTGAGAGAAACACATCGATTGATTGCCTCCTGCATGAGCCTGGACCAAGGTCCAAACCGGGGAGGAGGCTGAAACCGAGATATGTGCCCTTGACCAAAATCAAATCAGTCCACAAGCCAATGCTCTATCCACTGAGCCAAACTGGCTCGGGCTTATTATGCTTATTATTGTCTTTAAAAAGTTAGTATGACAGTATTAATTAGGCATGATTTGTAAGTTTTAAAAAAGTGAAATTAAATCCATGTGGATGCCCAAAACTTGTTGGTACCAGTGTTGGACTCGCAGGTTCACGACACCACAAACTTTCCTCCCCCTTCCGCATCCTACACAAACCAAGAGGTCAACAGCAAGGTCAGGTGGAAAGAGAGCGGATGTTAGCTTTGTTACTGGGAAGGCTAGGTTAGGGAAGGCAGCTTGGTCTGTCTGCTAGAGCTCAGGGCTCCTTCCTTAAGGGAGATTCTACAGCACATACACCCACTCCGCTGGGAGCAAGGGGGTGCTGGCCTCACACCTCTGAGCTCCTGAAGAGAAGAGAGAGGTGCTGCCAGTGTGGGATCTCCACACAGGAGCGGGAGCAGGAATGCAGGAAGTCTGGGGCAGTTTGGCACAACTCTGGAGAGTGCTGTAGCCTGTGGCCTAAGTGCACATGGCCTGTGTGGCAAGTGGGGCTACAGTGCTGCTGACCACGCCGGTGCCCGGCCGTGGCCCAAGAAGGGACAGAGGCACCGGGTGGGCAGCAGGAGGGCAGGCAGGCCCTAAGGGGAAGAGCAGATATGGGGGTGGGGATTTGAGGAAAAGAGGGGTAGGAGAAGGGTGGACTGCTTCCTACTCTGTCCTCCTGGATAACAGAGGAGCTTCCTCACGGGTGTCTGAGGCCAGGGAAACAGGGGCCCCTGCCTGAGCTGTCATTTCGGCTTCCTCTGAAAGGCCTCTGCCTCAGGATAAAGACTCTTACGAGAATTTCCTGTTTGAAGGCCCTCAGAATCTAATCCAGCTGAAACCAGAGCTCCTGGTCTCTCCAGGCCCCTCCCCAGAGTGGATGAGATTGATGGTGGCAAGGTCAGAAGGGCCGTTACCCACATGCTGGATGAAAAAGTTATTTCCTGGGAAACGGCCTTTGGGGGCAGGGCTTACCGGTGGATAGATATGCAATAGCTCACCAAGCTGTACACTTAAGATATGTCTGCGTTACACAGCTCATTATATATCTCAATAAAACAAATAAAAAATGTAAAAACGTAAGGTCTTAGGAGTAGAGCCTGAGTTTTGGCTGCATCCCTTTGTTGGTCGTGTGGTCTCGACAAGTTTCTTAACCTGCCCAGGCCTCACTTCTGCTCCTGTGAAATGGCGGTGGTGGGCACGGTGTCCGTGAGCGTTATGTGAGCACAGACGTTTTAGCACAGTGCAGGGCCGGCGCAGGGGCTCAGTAAGAGCGGCATCACCCCTTATAGATGCTCTGTGCTGCGGGATCCAGCACACCTCTGCCTGGACAGGGGCAGCTCGGGGCAGAATGCCTCCAGAGGCTGCCATGTGGCTGCAAAGAGCTCCCAGTGTGAAGGGTGGTGCTCCGGCAGTGGGACCTAACGCCTGGCAGGCTGGGCTCGGACCCCGGGCCCCTGCCACTTAATAGTTCTGTGGCCTAGGCCTATAACCTCGGTTTTCTCATCATAAAGCTGGCAATCATCGCACATACTCTGATTATAAGGGTCAGTTTGGATAATTTATTTAAAGAACTCATTTACTCAACCAGTGTGGACATATTTATGGAGCACCTGCCCAATGGCAGGCACATGTTGGCACTGGTGATTCCAGTGAGCCAGACAGATCCAGTCCCTGCCCCTTGGTGCACAGTAAGTGCTCACTAAAAGGCTTCTGAGGGCTGTACGTGGACACACATTACATACAAAGGAGAGTGCCTTCTCCCGGAGCCGGGCTGAGGAAGATGTGTGGTCCAGGGCGGACTGCTAACAGATTCCCTGGAGTTAGATGGTGACGTGCCTGCGCAGTCCTGCGGTCACAGCAATGGGACCTGACCTTGGCCGTTCTCGTTCCAGCCTGCTGTGCTGCCCTCACCGAGCTAGTGCTCAACGACACCAATGCCCACCAGGTGGTGCAGGTACGTGTGTCACTGCTTGGGGGGGACGGGGGGACACGCGGGTAGGGAGCTCCACAGGCTGGTCCACTCTGTGTCCCAGAATGTAGCTTTGGGGATCCCATCACATGGTTTTAAAACCTTTTAATATGTCTTATTTAACTTGTAGAATTCCATTTTCTATTCTTGTCCTTCTTTTAACTTGCTTGGCTTAAAAAGAACAGAAGTTTAGAAAGATGTTAACTGTGTTTTCATGAACTGTGCTCATTTTGTTCTTTTTCTTAGTTTTTAAATGTAAAAGTGTGTTTATTCACAATCCTTGACAATTACTCTTGTTTCTTTTATTTTTCTATAATATTGATAATTAACATGGATATATTTATTTAAAAACTATAAAAGGAGAAGTTACCTTTCATGATTAGATATTTAAAAGGCAGTGTATTACAGATTAAAAAGATATTTAAGTACCTTTTTATCCCCTACTCTAAAATATTTCATAAAGTATTAGATTGATATACTTTACTATTTGTTATCTTTAAAGACCATTGAAGTTTTCAGGTTGTGGCTGTAGTCTTTGGAATGTAAAAGACACACTGACATTTTTAGTATTGTTCTGCCATAAAGTTCCCAGACCTGAAGTTCCCAGATTATACTAACTATAACATAGCACCAGTTTTAGGGATTGTTCAGCTGCTTCTTTGTGCTTATGTGTCTCAGTGGCATTGTCCCTGGTCCCTGACCACATGTCCCTTTATTCTTCCAGGAGAATGGTGTGTATACCATAGCAAAATTGATTTTACCGAACAAACAAAAAAATGCAGCAAAAACTAATCTACTTCAGGTAATAACCATCTCTGTTGCTCTTTAATATCAAGTTACTGAAATCTGGGGAAACCCTGATAATCTAATCTATGATTTTTAGAATTTTTAGCTTTAGGCTGGTCCCTGCACTGACCGGGAGGGAAAATACCTGGTGAGGGAGGGAGGCTGGCGTGGAAGCAAATGCTGTTAAAGTAAAAGGCTTAATAACGCTTTGCCTGCGGGAGGGATATGGTGACTTTATTTAGATATTTCTTTGCTTATCAGTTAGTTCTATTCTTTAAGAACATGTAGTGCTTGAGTAGCAGAAAATAATAAGTTGAAAAGCAAGTATGGACACAGTCACTACCATTGCACCTTTACAAAGGACAGCCTGTAAAGGGATCTCCATGGATGAGGAAAGACATGCCAGATGGATGCAGGGATATGAGCAGGCACCAATAGCATCTGCCACAGGGTGGAAGGACATCCACATGGAGGGAACAGTATGTGCAAAGTGTGGGAGCCTGACAGCTTCTAGTGCAGTGCTGAGGCTGCTCAGTGGGGCTGAATGTGTGGTTTGGAGGAGGGGGTACTTCTGAAGGTGAGGCCTCATAGGTAAGATGGGTTTGTATTATGCAAGGTACTGTATGCTTTTTAAATTTTTATATATATATTACATATATATATATATATATATATATATATATATATATATATGTATGTATTTCAGAGAGAAAGGGAGAGATATAAAAACATCAATGATGAGAGAGGATCATTGACCCGCTGATGCCTGCACACCCCACAATGGGGACTGAGTCTGCAACCCAGGCATGTGCCCTGACTGGAAACCATGACCTCCTGGTTCATAGGTCAACGCTCAACCAAGGAGCCATGCCGGCTGGACTCCTGTGTGCTTTTTTGAGGAGTGGGCATCAGGGGTCCTTGAAGACACCACAATGATAAAGTCAGATTTTAAATAAAGCCTTTTTGGTAGCTGCAGCTCATCCTTTTTCCCCAAGCCATTTAGAAAAGTATGGAACCTCCTTTGCCTCCAATCTGACTTAAGAACTATTTCCCAAAATGGCAGCCTCAGGGCTGGCAGCCACAGCTACGAAGGAGGACACAGGAGTGTGGGACTGAATGTTCTCGATGCCTGCAGATGCACGGCCCTGGGCTGAGGACAATTAGTGTTTTGGGGGGAGTGACTGCTACCAGAGTTCCCTGGAGTTAGAGTATGGATGTGACAAGCACAGACACAGGCAAACCCATCCTATAGACAAGTTTTGTGAAACAGGAGTTTCAAAAAGTCACATTGATATGGCTTTGGAGGAACACGCGTGTTCTCCACTCTCTCTCAGTTGCCAGGACCCTCACGGCTCCTGTGGGTCATTTTTCACCCTCCTGGCTTCCCTGGGCAACTGTGTGTGAGACCCTTCCACTGCATTCAGATCACTGATTTTCTGCAACGATTTCAGACTCAAACTCAGCAGAGCCCTATCACCCCTGTTGTGTAGATACAGACACAGGCTGGAGGCTGTCTTTTCATTTTCAAGCGCTGCCAAATGTCAGACATTTCTCTTCCTCCATGCGGGTCTCACAGGCCTCTCTCTGACTGTTTACAGGAGTGGCTATAGATAGGTCTATTTGGGGAACGCCAAAGACTCTTTACTCAAGAGACCCATTTGTCAAGTCCAAGTCCAGTGTGCCCTCGGCTGATTCTGTGTGTCATCAGGGCCAGTGTTTATTTTCTCACGGAACCCATGTAAATATTGAGGCATGCGTGGCAGGCTGGAAACCAAACCCCACCCCGGGCTCCCGGAGCTCCTTGCACACTTGGTTTTCTCAGCGGAGGCATTTTCTTTCTTGCCCCTGTGCTCATTTGGTACTTTCTAGAAAGGAATGCATGCCAAGTCCCGAGTGAACCAAGGCCAAGATCCTCAGCATTTATGCGACATTAAGTGCTCTCTAAAAATAAGGGTTGGCTCCCACGTAGGTGAGCCACACTCATAAAGCCACTTTCATGTTTACCTCCTGATAGTTGTAGCCTGAAAGGTTTTCTTTCATTTCTTGAGCTGCCTTTGGAGAATTACACGCCCTTGTCTTTTTCCAGTGTTATGCCTTCAGAGCCTTGAGGTTTCTCTTCAGCATGGAAAGAAACAGGCCGCTCTTCAAAAGGTAGGAGCTTCAAGAAATGTAAGCGACACCCCCCACCCCCCCAACACACACACACACACACACACACACACACACACACACACCCGCTCCCAAGACTGAACTGTCCACATAGTTGACTTAGATGCAGACAGCAAGGGAAGATGAGTCAGAATGCAAAACCTAGGTCTCCAGACTTGGGAGAATCCACAGAGAAAACTGAGATACCCCAGGGATATCATAACACTGAGAATGAACAAAATGATGAAGGAGCATGAATCATGCTATCAGTATAGCTCTTCTTAATGACATGTGGCTGCTATCATTTTAGTTGCGCTCTCTCTCTCTCTCTCTCTCTCTCTCTCTCTCTCTCTCTCTCTCTCTTTTTTAGACATGAACATTTTAAGTGGATGACATTAAAATCTGTGTTTGGGTTAGCCCATTCATAAATGCCAGTGGAGGTAGTTATTTCCTCTCGGAGAAAGAAGAGGATCTGTCTGGGTGTCTGCCGTAGGGAAGGGGGTTCAGTGGAAGGGGAGGAGGCTGATGTTTTTGGGTCGGAGGCTGTGCTGGTGAGCTATGACAGAAATCACCGCTTTGGGAAGCAAATGCTGGTTCCCCACAGGCATGGTCTGCATGCCGTTCAGCTGGGCAGGTTAGCCAACGTCAGAGGCCCAAGATTTTACAGGAAGCTTATTGATAAGGCAGACTAGAGATAAAAGCTTGAGTTAATGCGATATTGTTCATTTAGAAGCATGGAGTGTTTTATGTTGTTACTGTATTTCCATAGGATGCTTGAATTTGGCGGGGAGGGAAGGAAATTATTCATTTATTAAAATCTTTAATTTCAAGGCCCCAAATTACCCATTTTGAGTGGACTTAAAGATTGTAATAAATCTAGCCAATACCTTGGAAATGATGGTAAATCTCTCAACTTTTTTCCTCATTTACCTGTATTTTTATTTTCATAAAATATGAAAAAATTAAGTTAATATTTACCTCCTAGGGCTCATATGAGGACTGAATCTAAGAGCATTTATGAAAGTGCCCAGTGCTCAATAAACACCCTGTAAACTTCCCTTTGTAACATGTTTAATACCTATACCCCCAAATATCTCACAAATAAGGTATTTCTACCGTGTTTCCCCGAAAATAAGACATCCTCTGAAAATAAGACCTTCTTACAGATTTCCTTCTGAGTGAAATATAAGGCATTCCCCTAAAAATAAGGCCACCCTAGGCTCTGTCTCAGAATGCTATTGCTAAACATGAGAGATTTGGTCCACTGATTTTGAAAGAAATGGAGTCACAAGAAATTCACCAGGAAATTCAGGAAGTGGTTTGTTATAATGATGTTCCAGAAGATGATGACATGATTGTCATTAAATAAATGAGTAAATTCTTGATACTGTAGGATTTACAGTTTGTCTGGCTTGTGTTGACCACTACTGTACTACCGTACTGTATACAGGTAATAAATTTCCTTTATTTTTATTTAACAATGTGTACTGTATTCTTCTTCATGGAAAAATAAGACATCCCCTGAAAATAAGACCTACCACATCTTTGGGAACAAAAATTAATATAAGACACTGTCTTATTTTCGGGAAACAGGGTATAATCTGTATAATATTTTTTTATTGTAGTAAAGAGCACATAATATGAGATATACCATCTTATGTAATGTTTAATTGTATTATACAGTGCTGTTGACCATAGCAGAATGCTGTACAGCAGATCTCAAAACTTTCCATTGGTTTTTCTTACTCTTATAAACTATGGCTATAGGTCACTTTTGTGAAGTAAGCTGGTATTTCCTCCCTCCTGGCCCATAACTTAAGGAAGTTACGTGTTTTTCATTAATCTGTGAATGAGCTTGATCCAACATGGAAAGAATGAGCAACAGTGCGTGTGTGTGTGTTTTTTCCCTGTAGACTTTTTCCCACCGACTTGTTTGAGATCTTCATTGACATAGGACATTACGTGCGAGATATCAGTGCTTATGAAGAATTGGTCTCAAAGTTGAATTTATTAGTGGTAAGTTGTGAGTTTTAAATTTTGTGGTCAGGATGGAATTTATCAGAGCAACCCATTTTCTTTTTTGTTTATTTTTTTTTTGCTTAGGAGGATGAACTGATGCAAATTGCTGAAAATATTGAAAGTATTAATCAGAATAAAGCTCCTTCAAAATATATAGGCAACTACGCCATTTTGGATCATCTTGGAAGTGGAGCTTTTGGCTGTGTTTACAAGGTGACTTTGCCCTTTCTTATGTCCCCAAGCACACACCATTACGTCTCACTTGCACACCCACACTCAGCTGAGTTGGAACCCCTTCATTGAAAAGTAATGAAAAATAGTTATAAATGTTAGAATTATTGTTTTTGTCCATCACATAGTTGCATCAATGTTGTCTTATCTTAACTTGAAGAGAAAAGCCATCATTAATCTCTCATAAAAATTGTCACAATGACTTGTCCCCAATGCATGGCACATTCTCTCCATTCTGTATTAATGTAGTAAAATCCTACGCAATATTGCAGAATGACCCAGGAGATACTAGTTTTTGAGCTGAGCTTAGTGTAAATACAGAAAGAATTTGAAAGGTTCCAGGACTTATTTAAATGACTTGCTTTAATCATGTGACCTTATTAATGTATCTCTTTCCTCCTCTTTCTACCTCTACCTCTTTTTTTTTGTCTTGTTAGGTTAGGAAGCGTAGTGGTCAAAATCTCTTAGCAATGAAAGAAGTCAATTTACATAACCCAGCCTTTGGAAAGGATAAAAAAGATCGAGACAGCAGTGTGAAGAATATTGTTTCCGAATTAACCATAATTAAAGAGCAGGTAAATATTTTTTTTCCTGTTTATGAATAAATAAATTCCATCAAAAGAAAGTAAACTTTTTTTGCTATTCTTCTCCAGGCTCTTTAAGACCTACTGTTAAAAATAATTCATATTGCCGAAACCGATTTGGCTCAGTGGTAGAGCGTCAGTCTGCGGACTGAAAGATCTCGGATTTGATTCCGGTCAAGGGCATGTATGTTGGTTGCGGGCACATCCCTGGTGGGGAGTGTGCAGGAGGCAGCTGGTCAATGTTTCTCTCTCATTGATGTTTCTGGCTCTCTATCCCTCTCCCTTTCTCTCTGTAAAAAATCAATAAAATATATTAAAAAAATAATAATTCATATTAAGGGGGTGATATTTCAGCCAACTTTTTTTCCCCTAAGGCTTGACATTGAACCCTAGAAACATGTTCTGCAGTTTATATCAGGGCAAGGGGTGCGGGGGAGGTGCAGAACGTTAGAGTTTACTGCACAGAGTGATTCTTATATGAAAATTCCTTCTCTTTTCATTGGGAACATAACCATTTCTCTCTCCTTATATTGTACAATATTTGGTTACTTAGTTACATCCATCAGAATATGACTGAGAGTTCCCTTCCCTGACTTTTGTCAAGAGGAACCAAGCTGTTAACATTCCTCAAATATGGCTTATTAAGTCTAAAAATGTGGCTTTTCCAGATGGGCTGTTATTTATTAGCATGAGCAGGATATTTTGACATAATGTAACACGTCAATTAACTATCATTATGAAGGCTTGTTTGGGGAGAAAGAATAAACATGCCAGCAGCGAACTGGGATTTCTTTTTGTGACCCAAGAGTGCGTGGGTTTCTTTTTCAGCTTTCCTTCCTTGTACGTTCATTTCGGACGCTGTTCTTTTATAACATCCGTGGAGAGCCAGCCCCTGCCTGCGCCTCGTTCTCCACTTGTTACATTTGCACAGCATCTGTGCTGGGACATAGTGATCACCATGAATAAAATGATCTTTATGCATCGACATTTTCAGCTTTACTCCAGTTTGTAAATTATAGTAAATATTACCATAAGTAGCTTACTTATAACTGACCTTTATATAGTAATACTTTGCTCACACTAAGGATAGCCTAGCCCCGTGGTCGGCAAACTGCAGCTCACGAGCCACATGTGGCTCTTTGGCCCCTTGAGTGTGGCTCTTCCACAAAATACCACGTCCTGGGTGAGTCTATTTTGAAGAAGTGGCGTTAGAAGAAAGCTTAAGTTTAAAAAATTTGGCTCTCAAAAGGAATTTCAATCACTATACTGTTGATATTTGGCTCTGTTGACTAATGAGTTTGCCGACCGCTGGCCTAGCCTTCAGCAGTGTGCTGTCTCATTATAACACAGGCTGCAATGTGGCTTCTGCCCTAAGCTGATCCAGTATCTCCACTGGAACTGAAGTCTGGGCGAAGTCTTGGCCAGTGAGCTGGGTCTAAAATATGGTTCTGGTTGCTTACCTGGATTCAGATTGTTTAAAACTTGCTGGGGGCTTTGCTAGTTGGTGAGGTAGACTATTTGTTTTAGTCCATTTCCTAAGAAAAGAAAGTATCATGGTCAAGAAAGGAGTTTTTGTCAATTGTTATAATTTCAGCAGAGTTAATAACTCTCATTTCCGTTTCCTACTAATCATTTTGGAGAGCATAAAAGGCACGGATGGTGTAAATAGACACAAACAGTGAATGTACATACCTAAGCGGTGAAGAGAGGTAAAGAGCAAGGAGGTCTGTACCCAACATGCATTGCTTCATTTTTGTTTCCTCTCTCTGCATTCTGTGTGTGGTGTTGGGCCTGGGACTCGGAGGAACTCGGTGCCATAATTCTTAAGGTTCTTTCTAGTTCCACAGTTCTCTGTTTTAGTTTAATTAAAGTGATAAGCACAACCAGTATTTACTTCTATTTGATAAGACTATAGGAGATTGCTATTTCAGATTAGTTTGGTAAGTAGCATATAAAAAGAATCATGAACAAATCTGAATTAAATGATAACTTTTTCCCCTTTTTATTGAACTTACTGGGGTGATACTGGTTAAAAAAATGGTATAAATTTCAGGTGCACAGTTCTACAATACATCATCTCTACACAGTATTGTGGGTTCCCCACCCCAAGTCAAGTCTCCTTCCATCACCATTTACTCCCCATACCCTCCTCTTCATCTCCCACCCCATTAGGAGCTTAAAATGCTTAGTTTTAGAAACAAAAATAAACACAACACTTGCTTTGTTGTTTTCAAATATGAAGTATGTAAAAGTTTGTATTTTGAAGTAGCGTAATGTTTGTTATTTATTTTCTTACAGCTTTATCATCCCAATGTTGTACGCTATTACAAAACATTTCTGGAAAGTAAGTACGAATTTTCATGATATTTCCCAATTAAGGGGAAGTATCTTTGTTACATATTTGTATATTAGAATGTAAGAAAAATAAGCTCAACCACCTACTTACTTTACTTCTTTGCTGTTTCTATGACAGTCAACAATCTTGTGCATCACTTTCTTGATGAGCAGAACAGTGATGTAATCAGGGACCTAAACAGTTATATATAAAATACCTAGACTCTCATCTGGGAGACACTGAATGAATAAGCCAATATTGCTATTACAGCTATTTTCATGCACATAAAAATCACTTCAGATCTATAGAGAAGAAACTTAAGGATAGTGACTTTCTTAATAAAAAAAAATTGAAAGTTGTTCTTATTGAATTAGATAACATTTCCACCTCCAAAATAAATTGGAAGTGGGCTTTGATTCTTTTCTTTTTTCTTTATTAAGATAGTACATATGTGTCCTTATCCCCGCATAGCCTTCCTATTCCTCTGCACTCTTGCCCTCACCCTCCTGATGTCTGTGTCCATCGCTTAGGCTTATATGCATGCATACACTCCCTTTGGTTGATCTCTTTCTCTTACCCCCATCCTCCCCTACCTTCCCTCTGAGGTTTGATGGTCTGATTTCTTTTACTTGAAGTTCAATGAACTGCCACAAGGTGGCGATGGAGCCCTGACTGATGCTGCAGGCAAGCAGGCTCTTTCCGCAAGGTTGATGTTGAGATCCATCCAAAACAGTCAATTTTCAAAACAGCATAGGACCTCTGGCTGCAGTAATATAAGTATTGATAAACCTTCATAGATCACACGTGAGCTTTCAGAGTAAACCTCCATTTGAAGGAAGATTTATGAAATATAAGGCAACGATTGGGGCCTCCTCGCTGCCTCTTCATAGTTGCTGTCGAGTACTGTGACATATTATGTTTTTACCCATCTCCCTCCCCCTAGGAACTCAGTGCTGGAATTCTCCAGTAAATCCCGCGCCCCTGACTGTTTGTTCTTAATATTAGAATAATTTCCTATGATTTAGTGCATATCCAATTACACAGAGCTCTAGATTGGCAATGAACTTGTACTGAAGTGGCTCAACGTGTTCTACTTAAGAATACAACAGCACAAAGTGTTTTTTGCAACTAACTTCCTCCAAGAAGAATTGGAAGTGGTTAAAAAATACATAAATACCTAAAATGTGATAAAACAGAGCAGAAAATTGGGATAAAATGAAATAAAAAGGAAGAATAAAGCTAGAGGTAAGGCTAGTACATATAAAAATATTTCTTGAGATTATGAAAAATTGGAAACAATATGAATGTCTATCCTTGGGAGAATGATTAAATAAATTATGATCCAACTGTATTTTGGAGTAACAATGTAACCAACAGGACAAATGGGATGGATCTATGTATACTGACACATAACAAAACACTGCAAGTTACAAAACACGTCTAATATGATCTGATTTTTGTAACTATTGTATACATGTGTATTCTACTGGTATATAAATCCCAAACATCACAGAAGATACACAGCGCATTCCACTGTGCGTAGTTTCATATCGGTTTTGAAGGAGGAAGTAGATTTTTCTCCTGTTTCCTGGCATCCACAGCAGACAGAGGAACACAGTTAGCTGTGAGGTGTTCAGTGTCCATCAGGTAAACCCAGGGGATGCACAGTTTCCTGTGCTCTTAAGGGACACCACAGAAATTTCTATCCTGGGTGGTATTTCAATTCTGTCCTTTGTCACAAGGCCATGGTATGGTTCCATTGTAAAAGTCAGAAAGGTAACCCTATGAGACTACAAATAATGCAGTGTACAATGCAGTTTTCTGAGTGGCTGGCTTGATTTGAGGATAAATTTTAGCCTATTGAGATGAAGTGGGTTTACACGTTCTTCAGGGAATCCTCCATGACTTTGGCTCATCATCTCCTTCTCTTTGGTGCCTCCCAGCCATTCCAGGTCACGGTGTACACAGCAAATGAGAGTAGTGGCCTGTGTAACCTAATGCTAGGAGGTTCCTGTAGTGGGAGAGAGGGTTGCTGGGCTCCAGTTGTCCCAAGACCCATCCCTTCCCACCCTCTCACCCCCTGGGGCTGAGTAGATTCATATCTTAAGGCATCTCTAACTCTTTAACGCTGCACACCTATTGGGAAACTCAGATTCTAATTCCTAAGTGTTTCCAACATATCTTTATTGAGCTTAAATTTCTATTGTCTTTTTCTTGTTGTTTGTTTTTTTTCTTTTTTCTTTTTTCTTTCTTTCTATAGATGACAGGTTGTATATAGTTATGGAGCTTATAGAAGGAGCCCCTCTTGGAGAGCATTTCAGTTCTTTGAAGGAAAAACAACTTCATTTTACTGAAGAAAGACTATGGAAAATATTTATTCAGGTACACTTATTTTCATTAATTTTTTCTGTAAAACGGTGAAGATACGAGCTGATGTTTTAGAGCCGCGTGTAGTGTTCGTCAGTGGTTATATGTATATTTGGGGAAATAAAATTTCGTCTTTGCTGTTTCAAGCTGTGCTTAGCTCTTCGGTACTTGCACAAGGAGAAGAGAATCGTCCACAGAGATGTGACGCCAAACAACATCATGCTGGGGGATAAGGACAAAGTGACAGTGAGTAAGTACAAATGTCTTAAACATTTTCATTTCAGAATTCCTGAATTTTATTTTGGGGCAGAGCAGTCCAATGGAACTGAACGTGCTGATGGGAATGTTCTATATCAGCACCATCCAATAGAACAGCCACTAGCCACAGGTGACTGTTGGTCACTTGAAATATGGCTAATGTGACTGAGGATGTTAATCTGAAATTCGCTTGAATGTTAAGTTGAGCATCCCTATGTGAGTAGTAGCTACTGTTGAGTTGAATATTGCCCACATGAGAGCATAAAGTGCCCTTAGGATTCATGAGAATTTAACTCCCAAACCAATGGTCTCTAGGTATTTTCTTTCTGTAGAATGTCACTTCATCAACACAAGCTTTTATGACCAGCATGTGAGCATGTTATTTTAAATGGTTTTAACATGGTCTGTATCATACAGGTAACCAATGTACTTATCAAGGGCTATGAAAAAATCCAGCCATTTATAATTTCAACATCAGTTTTTACCAAAATATTTTCAACTGTAGCAAGTAGGCCTCATTTTGGCTAACATTTTACAAATGAGAAATTATTTCCCCTCAACAGTTGGTTAATTCTTAATCAAACTTTTTAATGCTTTAATGATATATTAGCTTTTTCCTGCCTTTCTTTACTCATGAATACTTGTGTTACTCTTATGCACTCTTAATGGGGAGCCATCTCTAAATCAGAACTCTATATGTTTTTATCATGACATCCTATCAGTAAAACGTGTTTTTTTTTAAAAATAATATGCTGCCGTTATATGTAGGCTTGTTTATAAATTCTGTACATATATCACGATGTAATTATTCTGTAGTACGATTGATATAAGTATGGACATTCAAATTTATTTATTTTTAAGAGGAATTACAGTTAAGTTAAAATTATACAGCATTAGCTGAAACCGGTTTGACTCAGTGGGTAGAGCATCGGTCTGCGGACTGAAAGGTCCCAGGTTCGATTCTGGTCAAGGGTATGTACCTTGGTTGTGGGCACATCCCCAGTAGGGGGTGTGCAGGAGGCGGCTGGTCGATGTTTCTCTCTCATCGACGTTCCTAGCTCTCTATCCCTATCCCTTCCTCTCTGTGGAAAATCAATAAAAATATATATATATTTAAATTATACAGCATTAATTTGAAAGCAGATGTATAAAATTTCCACATTTGGGGAGATTTAAATAAAGCTGCAATTCATAGAGCCTATAAAAATAGTTTTTGTGTGTGTATATGTGTGTGTGTAAGCATGTCACCACTAAGGGGCAGCCTTGTCATATTTTATTTTTCTCTTTTCTGTGATAGAAGGTTTATTTGCTCCCAGAAAAGAAGCACAGAATTGCCAAATGATATTTAAGATGCATGAGCCAAAATGTATTAAAACTTTGACCAGAAAAAAATAACTTTAGGAAACTGAAAAATTTCATTTTTTTCCTCTTTTCACTCACTGTAGGTGAATTAGATGTTTTAAGATGAAGGTTAGTTTGCAGTTATTTATAGTAACATGCTGCCTGGATTTTGCCTTCATGAAGCAGCAGAGTACCAGCATATTTAGATGTGCATAATTTTATAAATGTAGCTAATTTTAATATCTAAATATATTTCCACGTAGGAGACTGTATCTTTTAAAAAAACTTATTGATTGATTAAGGTATCACATATTTGTCCTCATCCCCCCCCTTCCCATCCCAAACCCCTCCCCACTCATGCCCTCACACCCCCACCCCCACCCCCCTGTTGTCCGTGACCACTGGTTAGGCTTATATGCATGCACACAAGTCCTTTGGTTGATCTCTCCAAGACTGTATCTTTTTTTAAAAAAAATCCTCACCTGAGAATATATTTACTGATTTGAGAGAGAGAAACAGTGAGTGAGAGAGAGAGAGAGAGAAACAGAGAGAGACAGAGAGAGATAGACATCGATATGAGAGAGAAATTTCGATTGGTTGCCTCTAGTTTGTGCCCTGACTGGGAATCGAACCTGCACCCTAGATATGTGCCCTGACTTGGAATTGAACCCACAACCTTTTGGTGGATGGGAGGATGCTCCAATCAACTGAGCCACCTGGTCAGGGCAGAAGACAGTAGTATCTTTTAAGTCATCTTTTTTTTTATTTTATTATATTTTTATTGATTTTTTACAGAGAGGAAGGGAGAGAGATAGAGAGCTAGAAACGTTGATGAGAGAGAAACACTGACCAGCTGCCTCTTGCACACCCCCTACCGGGGATGTGCCCACAACCAACGTACATGCCCCTGACCGGAATCAAACCTGGGACCTTTCAGTCCGCAGACCGACGCTCTACTACTGAGCCAAACTGGTTTCAGCTTAAGTCATCTTTTAATCCCTTGTTGCCATGAAACATGTCTGGGTCTTGTCACTGCACTTATTGCATCCCTGAAGGTGACACAGACCCTGACTCAGTGGCACATTTGGCTCACTGTAGTCAGAGTTGGCCCCAAATGCTGCCACCTGCCAAGTAAGATCCGCCTTGCCCTAAGCTGTTGAGTGGTTAAAAAAAAAAAAAGAAGAATCTGTAGGTGACTTGAAAAGTTCATCATGTTCTAATATTAAATATAAATATTTGGTGTTCTAAGTTGAAAATCAGAATTATTTGGTGATGTATAAATATTTTGAGATGATTCTGAATATCATATTTACTGTGATTTAGTACGAATAGATGCCATTTAGTTTCATGTTTTTAGATCTTCATGGTGGTTATTTAGGTTTACCTTTTTTTAAAAAAAAAAAAGTATATTTTTATTGATTTCAGAGAGAAAGGAGGAGGGAGAGAGAGAAAGAAAACATTAATGATGAGATAATCATTGGTCGGCTATCTCCTGCACACCCACTACTGTGGATTGAAATCGCATCCCGGGCATGTGCCCTGATTGGGACTCCAATCGTGACCTCCTGGTTCATAGGTTGACTGACCTTTAATCACTGAGTCACAGCGGCCAGGCAGGCTTACCTTATTTTTAATTTTTATTTATTTTTTGGCCAGGTGAGGTCATGACTGCCATATGCCAAAATATTAGATTAATTCTATTAAGTTGAAATTATAAAAGGTAATTTGAAATGTGAAACAGGAAGTTCAGTAGGTACTTTGTCCTGTGTTTCAGTTAGCAAGACTTACTTTAGTATTTTTTAAAATGATAGACCTCATGTCAAAATACATAGCATAATGGAATATTGTATGTATGCCATTCATTAAGGCTGGTGGTGGTGTGGAAGATTGATACATGGGGCATTCTGTAGAAGGTTGTGAACTGTAATAACTATTATACATAATCTCAAAGTCTAAGGAAAGATGCTAATTCTGGGGGGGAGGGGGAAATGCTAACGTTGTTTTGTTTTGTGAATTGTAGCTGACTTTGGCCTAGCAAAGCAAAAACAAGAGAACAGTAAACTCACATCTGTTGTTGGAACAATCCTGTATTCCTGGTAAGTACAATTATTTCATGGCTCTCAGACATCAGACTTAACTAGTTTGGGCTTTCATTTTTCTTGGCTCACAAAGGAAAGACAACTTTAGGAAAAGAAGCTTATTTAGTAAGTTTTCTCCAATTACCCAAGTAATACACATGTATAGAATTATACATCACTCTGTGTGTTTAAAACAAGGACAACAAAGTACTGTTCCTCAGTCCCTTGTAGGGACTCTTTTATTACCTGGATATGGAAACGAGCCTTGGCACATAGTAGGTGTGCAATAACTGTTGATTGAGTGAATAAACTAGTACACTTGTTACCCAACATGACACTTATTATAAAACATTTTATTACACCTATGGTATATATAATTCTTTTTTTTCTTTCTATCCACATTCAAGGGTATGGGAAGGATTTTTTTTATGTCCTAATAAGTATCCCACCAACTGGCAAATGATAGGTGCTTAATAAATTTATTATGTGAATGAATAAATGATGACATACATACTTAGACATATATTTACAAGGTTGGTTGTTTCCTGAGTAAATGAGTGTTTATATTTTGATGAATTGAGACACTTATAGCTTCTTAGCATGAGCTGAGGATTTATTTGCAAACCGTTAATTATTTTGAAGTGAGAATCTTCTTTCACCTATTACACATCATTTGTCTGAATCTGTTGAAATTAGTAAATGCATGTGGTAGTCAGGCCAGGCTGGGGGACCCTTTCCCCCAGCTGAGTGCATGAATTTTGTGCACCGAGCCACTAGTCTATAAATAAGTGTCATTTAAAACTCTGCCCCTGTGTCTGGACAGGGTTGTCTCAGACCTATACTGCCTACCCCTGGCCCATGCCTGACATTTCAGGAAGCCTTTTCCTCCAGGTGCAGGTGGCAATGCCCCTCCAGCACCATCTCTAAAGAAAGCTTAGCATTGTGCTTACCTTAAAGGAGAAATGTTTAAAGGAATTCCATCATTTATTGAAGGGTGCATTAGGATCTAAGAAGCATTAATTCGATAACTGACACAGTAAGTAACTCTGGGGTTGACCCAGCACACCCCAGCACGGGGCACCAGTAGAATATGGCTGCTCCACTGCATGGCCTGGTCAATGCCTTGACTCCTCCCACACAGTAGGTGTTATATTTCTCTGAGCCTTCAGCGTTGGTACATCTCAGGAGTGTCTTTTTGAATTGTGAAGACGAAATCATCCTTCAGTTCAATTCTGAATGGACTCAGCATAATTAGGGGAGAGCAGGAAATGCTGTTTGGTTGGGTTTCAATTTATTTTGAGATATCGGGAGACCTGGAATTTTCCTCTTGGCATTGTAGCCACTGGGTATCTCTCAGCCTGACAGTCACTTAATGGAAGTGCTTTTGTTTTTTGTTTTTTTAAAGCCTTGCAGAATTAAACTGGGGAAGGTTGGGGAAGGGAAGGAAAGAAAGATGTGTGTGTTTATCATTTTACCTGTCCCTTACTTAGATATCCCAGCACTTACTTGTCGGGAGTAGATGACTTAAATCCTTTTCCATGAGATGCGGTAGGAGCCTTCGTCAGGGGCATGGGAAGGTCCCCAGGGACAATGCAGGGAGCCACAGCAGAGCAGGGACCAGCCAGTGCTGCAGAGCAGGAGGGGAAGGCCCGTGGCGCTGGGGTGGGCACCCCACTTCTGTGTTACGGTCTTTCTATGTTCTGTGTACTATGTGAGCATTATGCAAAGGGATCTATAGCTTCCTCCCTTTCAGACATTATGACAGAACTTGCTTGGAAGTGAGTCTGACTGACTAACAAAATGATAACAGGTCACCTGTGAAGGAAAACAGAGATAACAGCAGCAATGCCAGGAAACAGGGAGAGGAAAGAGTCGGGGAAGTCAGAGGATGTAAACAGTGGGGAAACGAAGGCCAGATCACCATGCCAGAGGCCATCCTCTCACTGTGTCCTCACGTGTCGGAAGGCACAGAGAGTTTTTTGAGATTTCTTTTGAAAAGGCACTAATGTTACGCATGGGGGCTCCGCCTTCATGACCTGATCATCTTCCAAAGGCCCTCCTCCTAACTCCATCACCTTGGAGGTTAGGACAGCAACATGCCAATTTTGGGGGAACACACACAGTTAGTCCATAATAGTGGTCTTTATAATAGTTTCTGCCTTAATTTTTTTCTTTTTTAAAAAAATTTCTTCTGCTTTATTTTTATGTAATTTAGTGCAGATATGTATAGGTCATGAATCTTTATTTTCAATTGTACCTTTTATCAGTGAGAAGTGGCTAGTGTACTAAAAATACTTCTTTGTTTGCTTGTCTCAAACGTTTTCTTTGTTTTAGTATTGTGAATCTCGTTTTTGTTTGGGCCCTCAGTCACTTCTGTTATTTCTTATTGTGGTATTGAATCTGTATTGATTGTCTGGAATTCTTGGACCTTTCTTGGGAATGACCTGTTTTTCTTTCCCAAACAGTGAATCCATTCACAAAGCTTGTTAGTTTATACTTTTTATACATTTGAAAAAGGAGAGGAAACTTTTTAAGAGCTCTAGTTATCAATTTAAAACCACCAGACTATTCAGTATTGGTATAATAACCTGTTAACTGAGTGGGACCTATAAATACGTCAAACGTAAACAATATCGGGAATGGGTAGGACATATGAATACGTCCTGGAAATATATGTTGTGCCCTGAGAGGGATGGTATATATTTTTTGTAATTTTTATAATTGTTTGTAAAATTTATAATTTTTTAATTCAATGTTTCAATTTTTTTGTTGGTATTCTTTTCTATTTTTTTGTAATTTCGTATTTTCCTTTGTGCTTTATATATAAATAAATGAATATATATATATCATTTATTTTAATTAAGTATAAATAAATAAAAAATAATATGAAATTACATCCTCCAGGCATGACGTACTGACATGTCCTAGTGAAAGAGTACGCGCCCATTACAGGTTGCGTAATTAAAAAGGGAACTCCCCGGTTAACAGGATAAATTAAGGCGACAATTTCTAAATGTGGTAAACAATCCTTATTTCACTTTCTTTTTTTCTCTTTTGCCCTTCCTCCCATTTAAACTGTGGACATTGGAGGAAAGGGCCTGAGTATAAATTATTTGAGTAAGTCTGGCATTCTGGGCCTTATAGTTTGAAAATATGTTGCCTTTCCTGTTTCATGGGAAAGGTAACAAAGGACGAAGAGCAAAGAGCGTATCTCACAGGCCCATTCCGTTCAGCCACCAGGTTTTTTGTTAAGTTGATTTATTCTCTTTCTGGAGCTGGCATCCATGGGCTACACTGATAGCAGTTAGTTCCTGAGCGGAACACGATAAATTTGGATGTGAGTAAGGTGCTTTATTTCTTTGTTTTGAAGATCTGTTATTGTGCTTAAAAAGAGAAGAAGGGACTCTTCATAAACGATCAGATTATTAAGATGGATTTTAGCAGTGTTGGGAATCTGGACATTTTCAAGGACGAAGCTTCAAAAGGAAGTAAAAGCTACCAGTCTCCCATTTCAGTGACTTGAGTAAGAGAAGAGTAGAGGTAAATCAGGTAGCTCCTTGCCAACAGGAGGAGGGAAATTAGCAATTTAGTACAGGTACAATGGTAGCAAAAATGGACCCTCATTCTTTAACTTTTACCTAGAAATCTAAGAATTGTGCATTGAACAATTGCTTTGTTAGGGGGGAAAAAACAACTTAATTATTAGTCAGAGTAGTAGAAGATAATAGCCAATATGGCAAACCAGAAAGTTAGCAAAACAAAGTGGCAAGGAAAACAGATTTCTTGTCATGTTCGTTACAGATAGTAAGAGCAATTGGCTTAATCTCCTCCTCGTTTGCTCTTGAAAAGCTTTTTTTCTTCTTTATTCCATCTATAATTTTTTAATGCCACAATCTGATTTTATGGAAATTACTATAAAGCCTTGGACTTGATGCTATATCATGCTATTGTTTTTTGTGTGTTTTTTTTTGTTTGTTTGTTTGTTTGTTTTTTAGCTCATTGTCAACCAGTCATTATCACACATACTCCGGCCATGAATTTCCCATGTTTTAATCCCTCCTTCCCATTTCCCCATATCCATTTCCCCAGCATCTTTCCAGGGTTTCACTAATGGCAGAGATTGGCCTCAGGGAAGACACCGGTGAAAGAAGCTTCTCTGTATTCCTGATAACTCACCGGATCTGTGTTTTTTATTGACAGCTTTCTTTGTTGGGGTTTAGCAAATGGTTTACTTATCAGGGCTAGTGAGACAGAGTGAAATCATTCATGGGAAAGCTGTCAGAGACCATGGCCAAAAGTTTTTCATATATTCAGAGCTATGGAACGTCTATTTAAAAGATGAAATCGGAATGCATTTTTTTTTCTTTTTTAGCCACAGAAGAGTGCAGATATTGGATGTATAAACCCAACACTTTATAAGGAAATACAGAGGCGATTCAGTCTAAGAAATCTGTAAATAAAAATAATGAGTTCTAAAGAGTGACTTTGAAAAATGTGCTAGCTTTCTCTTAGAATAAAAACCCTTTATTTTGTTAAAAGTTTTAAACAGAAAATAGAGTCTAATAGTCTATCAAAGGAGTATATCATCAGAAATTGTTGATATGCTCACCAATTGTTTTCGAGTAGAATGCTATTTAATTTTAAATATAATGTTGAATATAAGGTAGGAATCAACTATATTTCTGTACATTTAGAAATATAGAAAAATAAATTTAATCTCTATTTTAAAAGTGTATATATCTGTCATTAAGATGTTTTAAACCTAATTGATGGGCACAACATTCCCCAACAAGAATGTGTCTTACAAACCTTTTTCACATGAAGGTTCTCCTATGAAAGACCCCAAAGGTGAAATAGCTGCTTGATGCCACAGAACAGTTACATGTAACTCGCAAGTTATATTTTTTTCTTTTAAATAACGATTTTCTTCATAGCACTTATTAACTTTTATTTACTTACTTACATGTCAGTTGTCTCAGTAGAATGGAAGCTCCCTAAGGCTAGGGATTTTTTTAATT